GTGGCCAGCAGCCGCCGTGAGCGGCTGTCCAGAAGCCGGCGACTGATCTGCTTCACCCGGGAAGAGAGCAATGATGGTGCCAACTTGGGCCAGTGAAGCAACGTCCTCCACAATTAGACTGAAGAACAAAACGACAGCAACTTGTCTGTTCCCCTTCCCCCAAACCCCCAATAAAATCTTTAAAAAAAAAAAAAAAGAGTTTGGAGGTTAGAGGTATTGATAGAAAGCACAAGACAGGTAAGAAGAACTGACTAGATTCTACACCTTAGGAGCTAAAGGGAGTTCTTTGACAGGGAGGGAGGTAAGGATTTACCCTAGATGCTCTGTCTAGGAATATGGACTGTGTACTTGGTGTAAGTTTCCCCTGTGCTATGTCTCTCAGAAGTCCACGCCTGCTGGTCAGGATACAGGAAGGCGAGTACCTCCACCTTCAGCTCTGCAGTGAGACACATCCCTGATACAGCTGGGATCAGGCATTAGCCCATGGGCCTCCTTGTTCTGCGTTTTTGCATTGCTCATAAAGACATTCTGCCTGTGGTCAATACACAAATTGGCTTGCTCACTGTGTCCTCACGTTTCTGAGTCCCAGAAAACACCCACAGTTGTGAGGGCAGCCATGATCGTTTCACCAGAGGCTGCCAGGAGCCTCTCCCATACCTTTGAATGGAGAGCAGTGTATCTCTCCGTTGCATCCTTCAGCTTGTCCTTCACTAACGTCCCAGTTGCTGATGGTTCTCTGCCTTCCTCAAAGCTGTTTTCGGTGTCCAACACTTTCTGTCCTGAGATAGTCACAAACCTCAAGTCTCCTTTGTGGGAAATTACGTCCTCTGAGAAGCTTCCCTGCCGCTTTAGCAGGGAGGGAAGGGCTTCGGGGCTGCTGCCCCCCTTATGCATGTTCTCCAGCTCTTTCTCAGACCGTTCCAGCCAGTTTTCAAACTCTCTATGATCCTGCAGAAACTTCTGCAGCTCATCCCGTAGTGTCTGCGCCTGCTTCAGCTCTGCCTCTGACTGGGCCAGGGAAGTCGCGTACTGTTCCTTCAGCTCTCCTAGCTTCTCTTGCAGCATCTGTCGTTCCTCAGGTGTGAGATTGTGGCCATGCTGGTCCAGGAAGGCCTGGGCTGACTGGGTGGCCAGGATGAAATTTTGCTGCTGAGACAGCAATTCCTGATGACGGGTCTGGCAAGAAAAAATCCCCCGAAACAAAGGACAATCAGTAGGGACACCACAATAATTTAGTTACGCCTACAGCTAGAGACAGAGATCTCCACAGGCCATTTTTCTAGCTATGCAACAATCATCAATATCTCTCACTCTCTAAGCATTATGCGGTATGCTAATCCCAGCTGAACTGACACATAGAATCTTACAGTTTTCAAAGAGGTTTTCACATGTATTATCTCATCTGACTTGTAGCACAACCTGCAAAGTAGGAAGACAATATAATATCCACATTAAAGATGGGATAAGTGAATACTAAAAAGATGTACTATGTGTTAACTAAAGTCATATAGACGGTTAAGGGAAGAACTACTGACTTGATTCTCTTCACTAAACTACTCTAAGGCTCAGAGAAGGTACAAATGGCCAACTAATAATTACCCACATTAACGGAAGGCGAGAACAAGCTGGGTGAGTGAGCCGTACATACAACAATGTAAAAATGACAAATTCTTAGCTGTGAAATATGTCACTCACGTATCTGTGAAGACTGTCCCTACTAGGAAAGAGCTAAGAAAATTAATTCCTTAAGTAAACAATTTATATATTAGTGAGAGTAAACTGTGTTTCTGGACAGTATAGGTTAATTTGTACTTTTATTTGTGTTATGTCTATGCTTATCTACGGACCTTTTTTCTATTCTAATGGAGCATGTTCTTTCAGGACAGTAGTGGTTGTTCTATTTTGTTTTAACCTTGATCTTTCCGAGTCTAACAGGAGTCAGTGGGCATTCAGTCAGTGTTCCCAACTATCTATTGGGCTGTCGGGAAAGTCATGATGTATTTTTCTATGTTTTTCGTTGTAAAAATGCGTCATGACTTTTCCAACAACCGAACACAGTAACATCTCAATGGAGAGGAAGAAGTGTGCTGACTTTGAAAGAGATATAAGCAGCACGGGGTTTGAAGATTGATTCGATATGGGGCAGTGAGGCAGGGAAAGGAATCCAGGATGCTGTCTAGTTCAGGCAATTAAGTGGAAATACAGAAAAGAGAACAGGTTGGACTGGGGGGAGGGGAAAACTATAGTAAACAGGAGTTCCATTTTTGAGTTTGAGGTGCTTTGTGGTTCCAAGATGCAAAAAGGAAGATATATTTATGTGATGGCTTGAAGCTCAGGACAGACATTTGGGCTGGAGACAAATATATCCATGGATTATGTAGTACAAATGATAACTGAAGTGTTGTGAATGGATGAGACGACCCAAGGAGAGTATATTCTGAAAGATGAGAAGAGGCCTAGAATATTACTTGGAAGCACGTCAGTGTTTCCAAAAGCTGGCCAGGGGAAAGGAATGCGGATTATCAGGGCAGAGTGGTGCTATGGAAAGCAAGGGAGAAGGATTACAAGGGGAGTGGCCAACTGTTTCAAAGCTGCTGAGACATCAAAGATGATATGAACTGAGAAATGCTCACTGGATTTAGGAGCAAGAGGGTTATGGTGACTTGCCCACAGCAGAAGGGCGTCCCCAGCATAGTGAGGACAAGGTAACATCCTCACCTTCATCTTCTCACATTGCTTGTCCAGTTTCTCAGAGGCTTGGTTCACCCCCATGTGACCATCAGTGGTATCCAAGGCTCCTTTCTGCAGGCTAGCTCCTGACAGCTGCTCACCAGATGATCGCACTGAAGTCACCCAATCCAAGAGAGCATCGATCTTACTCCTGTTCTCTGCCAGTTCCTTTGCTGCTTTACTCTGAAAGCCACAGAGGGAGGCTAGTAAGAAGGCCTTAGATATGCAGCAATTACAGATTACAGGTTAAGGGGGAAATTTTTATGCTAAAGAAAAAGAGAGGCTCTAAGATAGTATAAACAGTCTTTGAACCCATAAAAAAGAATGAGTATCTTCTAAATCTGAAATCTTTTGAAAAAAAAATTATTTAAAACAATCTCTAGATTTTGTCTATACCTTACTGCTTTAAAAAAAGAGGCAGTGGGTTGGGGGAGGCAAATCCTAGTGTTTAAAGGGCTTTATTTGATTAAGAGATGATTTAGTCCTGGCACCCCAGCGAGACTGATGGAATCCTTTCTAGGTATGCAAAAGTGATACACTGGCTTGCTAAGGAAGAGAGAGCACAGTCATGTTCAGTTACCTGGCCGCCCCTTCCTAAAGGTAACACAGGCTTCTCCTATCCTCTTCTCTGTCACTGAGTTCTGAAACTTGCCTCTCAAATTCTATTTTCTGACTCTTCAAGTAGTTCAGTTAATTAAAAGGATATGCCAAGTGATACAACCACGTAGTTCAGAATTCATCTTCAGGTAATTTATTTCTCTTTTCTCTACCTCTCTTGTTAGCATCAGTGTCCATGGCCAGGCAAAGGATTCTAATTCAATCCGCCAGCGCCGAGTGGCCTCCAGGAGACCATTTGAGACTTTACCTTCTCTTAGGTTTGGTTCCAGGGCCAAGATTCCCACTGAAACTATAGTGGCAGCTGGGGGCAGCTTTCGGCCCACTAAGACTCCCCAAAGAGTTCCCCTCAGCACTCCTGGATCACCAGTCTAGATTCATGTTAGAAATATGCCATTTGCTTTCTTTGTTCTGACATTTTTCAATTAATCAGACTATTGAGTACAGAGACAGGAAGGGGTTTAAGGGGGGATCATATGAACTTCCTACCAACTATTCCTGACTTAAAAGTCCTTCAGGATGTTTCTTGTAAAAATGAATATTGGCTCAGAGACCAGCTCCCAAAGTGCTCTTTTTCATGATTATGCTCTCTGTAAGGGAGTTTCCCTTCATTACTTTTCATTTGTGTAGATACCAAAATTTTCTGTTTTGAAAAATACCAAGTATCACAGCAGTCTGGTTACCTTTTCAGTCTCCAGCTGTAAGGCTGAGGTCACTACTTCCTGCAGCTCCTTCTGGGCCACCCGTGTCCGTTCCTGGAGAGCCTCATATTGCTCCTTAGCCTGACGAAGTTTTTTCCGAAGAGCTGTGAGCTCATGGGGGCTCAGCTTGGTCTGGTTCTCTTCCAGGAACCCTTCAATGTCTTTGATAACACTGGTGAATGAGGTGGCATGACTCTGAATCTCGTCCTGTAAATCCTTCACACATGAAAACAGGGATGGAAGAGCCTTCAACTTTAGAACTCCTACAACCTCTAATAGTATGAAGATAGAATGACCAGGATGGTGTATCTGCAACAGGCGTATGTCCCTGACTATAATTTGCTTAGGCCTAAACCAATGCAAATAACACATTTAAAAATATTTCTTAATTAAGAAATTTTCTAATATTTAATTTTCTAAGCAAAATTTAAATTTCTAAGCAAATATTTAGTGAAGACAAGAAGGGAAACTGCCTACAAACATGTTGAATAGGAGAGATTTTTATTTTTAGTTATCCTCAAAGAGATCATTCCTCTATAAAGAAAAGTTGACAATAGAATTCTAGCTGAGTCGAGGCCTGGTTGGTCCTTTTTACTCTTTTGGGTATCACCTTTATCCTTAATGTAGCCTACAAGACCCAGCATGATATGGGTTCCACCTAGTCTCCAGCCTCATCATTCACTAATCTTTCTTTCGTTCTTCGCAGTCCAAATATATTAGCTTTCTTTCAGTTCCTAAATACGTTATTCTCAATCTCATTCCTACCTCAAGACAGATACAAAGGCCTCTGCCTGGCATATTCTCTTCCTTCTCCCATTTCTTCATGCATTAACACCTACATATCCTTCATTTCTCAGTTTAAGTGACACTTCTTCAAGGCAATCCTTTCTAACATCCTAGACTAGATGGGGTCTCTGTTATATGTCTTCATGTAACTTTTCCTTTATAGGTAAAATAGTGAATAATTCTATTTTCATTTCTGTGATTATCTGTGTAATACCTGTTTCTCCCATTAGACTGTAAGCTTCATGACAGCAGGGACGTTTACCATTATATTGCTAGCACAGAGCACTGTGCCTGGCACATAGCAAGCCTTCAGAACAATTTGTTTAAGGAATGAAAAAAATGGATTAATTCATACTGACCTTCAAGTCACTTTGGTTCTTCTGCAAAGCAGAGAGATCCTGCTGGGTGGCTCTACCTTGGTGGCCCACCAATGCTCTTTCCGCCTGTTCTACCCAGCTGCAAAGGTCCTCTAGTTTCTGGTGACAAGTATTTTGTTGTTTCTGCAGGGTCTAATTAAAATGCAAAGGGGTCAAGAGACAATTAATAATTCTCATTATGTAAATACAAGATAACTCTCTGAAATACAAAACAGGAAGGTTACATCTCAAGAATGGAAAAGTTGGTGGGAGACTAGAACAGGAAAAAGCACAGAAATCATATTGAAAAAGCTCCCCTCATCTGGACAATGTGATCTGGGTCCATGGCCTGGGTTAAAATCGGGGGTGATTTCAGGTGAGAATGCTCCCAGGTTTTGGTATGGGAGCTCCTTTGCCTACTGCTGTTATTATCCTTGGAGATGGGGAACAGAAAGCCCAGAGGCTTAAAATCCATAGGTGATAATGGTGATGACAATAAGTTAGTGGTTCTGATCAATTCCTCCACCAGAACCAGAGGATATGCTACAGAGTAAGTCAAATGTGAAAAATTAGGAGGACTGGACTTGGAGGAAAAATCAAGAAACTGGGCAATTCATAAGCTAATTGAGCTTCTCAGTAACTTAGCTGATTTTATAAATCAAATGCAGATACCCATTAAATGGAATGATTACATGCCAGGCATAAGGAGCTTGTCTATCGTGAGCAGAAGGAAACTGTCCATGATTAGCAACTGGCTCAGTCTTCAGGTGTCTATATTGATAGCAGAGAAAAGCCAGGCCCTAGGGGAGGGAGGGAATATGTTTCTGTGCCTGATCCCTGCTCCAGATCTCATCGCAGTTGCCTGACACTGAAGCACCTGATTGAGCAATTGAGCATGATGTGTTCTCCTGACCATACTTCTAAAACCATTTTCCACCAGCTTCGACCTTCTGATGGCGTATTAGTCACCTGCACTTACAAACAGGTGCCCAAATTGGCCCTCTCTCCCCCTCTTTAGGACAAATGGAAGGGCTCTGGAAGAGAACTCCTAAGAGCTCTTCAGCTGTAAAACAGGGTCTTCATGGGTTAGGATGGGTGCAGACTGAATCTGAAAAAAGCAAAGCAAACAAGTTAACACAGAGACGTACACATGCATTCAGGGCAAATATAGAAAGAAGCAGAACATTTTTGACAATAACGAGGTTAATGAACATTGTGAAATTAATTATGCGCTCAGAGAGAGTGCTCACATGCAGTTCTGATCACTTGCTGCTGCTCAGGGTCCTAGCCTGGGTCTGGGCTGTGTCTTAATGTGGTTCAGACCAACACTATCTCATCAATTGTCCACAGGCTACACCATGCTATATAAATTCTCAACTGGGACACTGCAAATTTTCAGATTTGAAAAGAACCTAAAGTATTTCATCAGTATTTTGTTTCAAGTTCAATACAGTTGAAATAAGTAAGCAGTAATGGGGGACATATGGAATTCACTAACCTAGTTTCCTTTAAGCCTGACTCCAAAGCTCAATTCTACTTTACACAATATTTAATAAAGGAGACCCTGAGATGGATTTGCTGGTGATAATAACAATGCTAACATCATCTTTCTGAATTCCAACTTATTCAAATAGCAGAAATGGCATAAGTATCATTCTTGGTATTCTAAGGTTATATTACCATTACTGCAATTATATTGAGTTTTGCAAGAAGAAGGTTGTGATGGAATGTGGTAGGATTGTTAGTTTTCCCCCCAAAATGTATCACCCCTGCTTCTACGCACCATTTCTCATAATTGAATAAGCACTAAGCACTACTGTGAAGAAAGGTGCTAAAAAATAAGTTTAAGAGATGGTAAAAAATAATCTTATAAAAATTTCCTTGTCAGCTGTTTGAAGGCTGTCAACGAACCTTATAGTTAATTATTTTAAAAGCCCCGGAATAAAACTGAATTCAAAACCATTCTTCTCAAGAGTTCAGAGGAGCTCAATTTTCCTACCAGGCTTCAATAGAATGCGGAGGGAGAAAAAAAGGGGCCAGGGTTGTGCTTTTCATTCGAATGTCAAAGACAATGAGACACAGTGAGGGTAGAGTCTCATTAAAAATAAAATACTTGCACATGCATACACATATAAACACACATATTGTCTCACACGCACACACAAAACCAAACACATGGCAAGAAAAACAGCCAGAACAGCTGCCTCCTGGACCAGAACCAAAGCGGCCTGAATGACATGAAATTTCAGAATCAGTAAATACAGACTTCTGGAATCATGATAGATGGAGTCTGGCCAGAAAACCCAAACAGAGGACATCCCAAAAGACAACTAAGCCCAGCTGCTGGTTCAGTCTGACCTTGACCTGGGCTGCCTGCTCCATTTGTTGAAGATGGCCCTGCAAAGCCTTCGTCTGAGCTGCAGTCTGCTCCACAAGGTCCTGGAAGGACCTCTGCACTTCATTCAGGACCCTCAGCATCTGTTGGTTTTGCTCAGGGGACAAGTCCTGGGCATGCTCGGAGACAAAGAACTGAATATCAAAGGCAAGAGCATCCAGCTGAGATTTCCTTTCAGCCATAGGCTGTTTCAAATCCTAAGGTAAGTAGGGAAAGGAAAAAAGAAAAAAAAGAGATAAAACTTCTAATTCTCTGTTGAAGCAGAAGCTGTTGGTTCTAATCAAAGAAGTGACATAATCAATGAGAGGTTAATTTCCTGTATTTTTATAACTCACACTGATAATTTCTAGAGCCAAATCAGCACTGGAAGTCTCTCTCACTTCTAATCTCTCGATTCGCCTCATAAATCACCATTAGGTTTCCTTTACTGCATACTGACTTCCAAATGAAGCAAGCTTTCATTTATTTAAGGTAACAGAATTCTACTACTGCTAACCTCAGTATCTGAAATGCATATTTTTTTAAGTTTTGGAAAATATAACATGAATTTCTGGTCTGAGATATATCTAATTATATTTTCTTAGGTCCAAAAATCTATTTGTATTTGTCCAGCAGTGAGTTACTGATAGGTTAGAAGTGAGAAAATATCCAACTTATTTGTGGTTCACTAAAATTTGACTTTTATAGTAAATAATGTTGCTTATACACTTTAAAACTGTAAAGGATTACAGCCAGACTTTCTTATATAATAGTTATATTGTTCCCTTAAAGCAGTAAAAAGTGCCTAAACACTACATTGATCTGTTTTCAGACAATTAAAAAAAGCATGTGATTTTTCCACAAACATTTATTAACCATCAGCTATGTGATATTGGATGCAATAAAAACAATTAAGATCTCTCTCTCTATCACTTTGAAACAGAGCAGTCAGCAATCCTGCAAAGCATGCTGGGAGGGCTTCTAGGGTAGTTACCATAAGGCCATGCTTCCTTCATCCGTGAACACATGGGCTTGGGAAACTCTCTCTTAGGAAAACAAGGCTTAGACTGCGGCTCTCTTCCCATAAAAGAATTCACATAAGTTACAACTAGGGGAAGAAACCAATGTATGAGATGCTCTGTGTTTTTATATCTCATACTACGTCATAGGAATTTTTCTCATCCTTGTTTCTTTATAATACCCTGTCAGTGAAGAGATAAATATGATACTCATTCCTCCAATGATATCTTGAATAAAAGGGCATGCAAAAAGAAGGCATGTCACCTCTTGCCAGATAAATGAAGTTGTATAGAAGGAGCCTGACCATGGACAAACCTTTTTGCCTGCTTTTTAAGATGGGAAAAGGGAGAGGATGGAACAGAAAGAGTGGACATCTCTAGTTCTGCTCTGATTTAAAAAAGAATTTAAGGAGAAGGGTACCTATAGCAGAGGGTGAATAAACCTGTGTGAGTAATATCTAATTTTATCTTAAGTATAACTCTCATAAAAGAAAACAATGTTGTGGGGAAACCCTTGGGCTATATGGATCTCAGAGTCTGTACCTTTCTTTCATTGATTTATAAAAAGAATCAATTAACTTGGGGCTTAACAAGAAAAGCATCTTCCTTGATTAGGGGTTGGCAATTACAGCCCCCAGGGCCAAATCTGCCTGCTACCTAGTTTTGTAAACAAAGTTTTATTGTAACACATCCATGATCATTCGTTTACATACTGTTTATGGCTGCTTTCATGTTTCAGTGGCAGAGCTGATTGACTGCCACAGAAATGGGTCATTTGCATATGACCTGCAAGGCCTAAAATATTTACTGATTAGATATTGGGCAAAATAGAAACAAGGGATCGATACTAGATGCTCAGCTACAAAGAGGAGATGAAATTGATAATTATAGGCCATTCTGTAGACTCTGAGACTAGCTGAAAGAAAAAATAATCATAATCACCAAAGTCCCAGGGGTATGATAACCTAAAATACTAGACATAGCAGACTTTATTTCTGAAATGGAAAATCAGGCTTTCTAAGAAAGATAAGTACAGATACTGGTTTCCCAAGCAGGAAAATAAAATTGATATAACTCAAAGGACAAACAAAACATGCTGGAGAAAATGGGTGCAGAGTTTACCTCATACTGTTGCAGACACTGGTTCAGGCTGTTGGCATCTGTTTCACTAGTAGATTCCCTGCCACTCAGAATAAGATTGGTATTGCCAATCCAGGCTCTCAGATCCTGAAGTTTGCCTTCTAGCTGTTGCTGCTGATTTAATACTCTAGTCTAAGAAATAAGTGGCAAATTAGATTATAAAAATGTTCAAGCCTGCCCAGGCTTTGTGAGCAAGAATAAAAAGCTACCTTTTCGACTTCCACAGCATTTTGGAAGTGGAGCAGTCTGGAACTCCAGGTGTCACTCACGGAGCTGAGGGACTTCTGAAGATTCTTGGCATCTTTCTCTAGAGCCTTCAGCAGTTGAGCAGGGACTTCTTGAGGCTGGTTGGTGATAATCTGATTCACACACTCCAATTCCTGACTCACCAAGGTAGACAGATCCTTCAGCTCCTTGTCTAAAACCTGACAGGATGAAGTGGCGTTACCTCCAAAATCAAGACTAGAAATCTTGCTATCTAGGAATCAGCTGTGAACACATTTTTTCCCCCTCACCTTATGCCTATGCAGGCTTCAGGGATTCTAAAATGCTTTTTATATACATTCATTAGTTTATTTGGTTTACATAATCACTAATTCTTGAGATAGGCAGAATAGATATTATACTGGGTTGTTGGAAGAGTCATGACGCATTTTTGCAATGAAAAACATAGAAAAAATATGTCATGACTTTCCTGACAACCCAATAATTCTGGATTTACAGAAAGGATGCCTCCAGCAGGAAAAGGTGAATTTTTTTTGTGTCCGAGGTCACCCAGCTGGTAAGCAACAGTCAGAACTTGGATTCAGGTTTTCTCACTCAGTGCAGTGCTTCTTCCACCGTAACTTGCTGCCTCTCCAAGAGTGTCATTGCCTGATACAATATCATGCAAAGTAAGCCAATCAAAAAGACGACTCCCACCCCAAATTCCAAGGGGGCAGAACCAAAGAACATAAAAATACCCCAGGCCAGCCTTCCTCCTCAGTTCATCTACAATATTCTGACCCTCGGTGGAAAAGCCAGAAATAAGCTGAGGAAAAGCTAGATAGTTCTCCTGGGCATCATCGTCCTCCCTTCCCCTTCTGCAAGCCTCTCCAAAGCCACACTCTGGATATCGAGAGAACTGGTAAACCTTAACCATCTCTGCCCTCATTGTGACGCCAATCCTGTGACAACTCTTAACTTCCAGTTCCAGTGACAGAGCTACCTTTCCTCCCTCTGAAGTCTGTGTAATTCTATGTCATCAGGACCTCATTCCATCAGCCATTACTTCCTCTCTCCTCTAACTTTTCCTACCGGTTCTTCCCGATTGGTTCTTTTCTACTGGTTCTTTCTCCTTAGCCCAAAAATCTACTTAAAACAATCTTCTTTTAGTCCGTCTCCTCTAGCTAGTGTCCTACCTCTTTCCTTGACTGTATCACCGAGCTTCTGGAAAGAATGATCTACATTAATTGTCCCCACCTTCCAACTTCCCTCTTATTCTCACTGTAACCTAGTTAACATCCCACCACTCCACTGAAACTGCTCTAAGCTCACTAGTGCCTTTCAGGCCCCAATCCCGCTTTGGTCCTCACTGCATTCAGTCTCCCTACTGTTGTTAATCCTGCTGACTGCTCCTCCCATGAGTCCCTTCTGCTGTGGTTCCTTGTGAGGCCAGTATTTCCTGGTGTGCTTCAGAAATTTCCAATTACACCTTTTCAATCTATTTTTTGTCCTTTAAATGGTGGCTGTTCTTGAACATGTTTTTCTTCTTGAACAGTCTCTATTTCCTCCAAGCTGGTGGGCCTAGAGGAAGTCGCTGGGTACCTACCTTGGCCTGACACAGCAGATCCTGCAGCTCTGATAGGCTGTGCTCCAGAGGCTGAATCTGTTTGGTCCTCATTTCAATGTCTCGTAATAGAGACAGATAGGATACCAGCTTCTCATCATGTTCTAGACAGAGTCGCCGATTAAATACATTCTGTGGAGCCAAAGAAAAATCTTCCTCAGACCTGACATTCTCCTTTAAGCCTGCTTTTAAAGCAGGCTGGGTCTCACAGATAGACAAACAGACAACTTTACTACACTTAGGGTGGGATGAAATAACATGTTATTTTGTCTATGTCTTCTCAAATCAATAGACAAAAAAGTGATCTTATTAACTTCCTTAGGGAGCAGAAGCTCATAATTATCAATCTGTAAACATAATTTTAGCAAAATTTTCAAATGCTATTCTGACTTCAAGCATCACCCCAGTATTTCAAATTAGCTCCAATGTTAGTTTTTAACTTAAAACCCTTGTAAATTTCAGGAAGACATTCAGAGTCATTGTCTAATGTTCCAAGACGGTGTTAAAAACAGATAATGGTAAAATGGCATACCTTAGAGAATCTAGTGCCCTGAAATGTCTGCCTGCATACAATCATGCGTATGTAAACTCAGTATCCAGTCAAGAGTTTTAGCATTATATCTAAAAGAACCATCTACAGCACAGTAACCACTGGGAAACTTACCTTGGTTGCTCTGAAGGGCTCCAGGTTTACACCACCGTTTTCCTTTCCCCTGGGTGCTGTCACGCAGGGAGTTTGTTCGCTACCAGGGCTTTCTCTGAGCTTTTCTTGTGGTGTCTTCTCCTCCTCCTTTATTGTAGGGTGTATGAGGGGCACTGGCTTTTCCTCACTGGCCTCTGCAATAGTGGGACTAATGGTGGCATCCTGTTGCCCTGTACTCTCTTTTAGAGACGCATCCTTGAACAATTTCTCTGGAACAAGGGACGCCAAGACTCTGGGAGCTCCCTGAGTCACCAGGCCTTCAAAGGACCCTGCTTCTGCCCCTGTAAGCATAGGTTCTGACATTTTCAGAAATTTCTCTCCACTTATTTCCTGAGTTGTTACTATTTTAGATTCAAGAATTCCACAAAGTTCACTATCACTTTTGCTGTCCTGATGATGAAGGTCCTTTCTCTCTGAGAATTCCACATCACTGACTTCTTTTGGGTCTACTCTAGAAATTGTAATTTCTTCCAATTTAAGAGATTTTCTTGAGTCAAAAGGTACTACTTCTTGGTATGATTTTTCTTTATATTCATTAGATGAGCAAATCAGATCTTTGGTTTCCTTAGTTTTAGAAGTAACACAGGAATCTTTATAATAGTTGGTCTCCTGTCTGGTGGTTCCTTGGAAAGACTTGTCTGTTTTGGAAATTCGGGAAGTGTCTGCAACTTGGGCTTTTCCAACTGATTCCTGGTAGTGCAATCCTTTAGGGCTTGGGGTCATAGAAGAAAATGGTTCACTCTGGGCCCCACCAGTAATTTCTTGAGATAAATTTTCTTCTGGTTTTAAAGTCAAGCAGAGGCTTAAATTTTTTACTTCTTCACTGACCTGATTAGAGTTGAAAAATATTAAAGCATCTTGATTTCTTATAGAAATTCCTTTGGGTGTCACTGGGGTAGAAGAGTCTTCAGCTTTACAAAGAACAGAAAACGCCAGCTCTCTATCAGCTTCATTCTCTTTTTCACTTACAGTTATTTCTATTGGTTGACTCTTTGTACTGGAGTCATGGTCATCTCTAATGGCAGTTTCTTGGTTCAACTGTTCTTCTGAAAGAATTGCTGATTTGCATGTTTTGATACTTTCTTTTACAGTCACCTTCTTCTTCTCTCTCTTCCTCTTCTCCCTGGTATTCACTGGTTTCTGCACAACCTGCTCACTTAGCAATCTGCCTGAAATTTCACAATTGGATTCTTGTGCTTCTGAACTAATTTCTCCTTGGTTTTCCCTTATTTCCTTAGGATCTAAATCTGATGCAGACTGTCTCGTATGAGAAATAATTTCTATTTCTGGCACTATTTTTTTCTGCTCTTCATTTGTATCTTTTTCCATGTTATTACTAGCCACCTCTCTGAGTTTAAAATCACAAACTTCTGAGTGAGGGTATGTCACTGAATCTTGGCCCAATGATTTACCTTCACAATCTTTAGCATCTGGAGAAGCCCTCCTCTTATCTTGATCTTTATACTCCAATTCCTTTAATGAAAATTTCCTGTTCTTTTCTGTCCGCTCCCCATCAGAAACTCCTGCTTTAACATTCTCTCGTGCCAACTTACTTCCAATTTGAAATAATTTCTCACGTTCTCCTTGACCACAACTCATTTCATCAGTCTGATTACAAGCAATTAAAATTTCCTTTCTTAGAACTTCCTTCTTTAATTCACATACTTCAATTCCATCTTGCTTTTCAATCTGAGCCCCGTGATCACTGGAATCTAAAGTATCTATTTGGATCAAAGTTGCCAGTTCAGGACTAATAAATCTTTTCTCAATAGCTTCCTTTAGAGTCACTCTTCGATCATTAAATATGTCAACAATTCCTCCATTTAATACCTGATGAGATGCAATAATTCTGACCATGTTTTCATCCACTAATTTCTGTTCCAAAGCTGATGCCAATGTCAGTGTCTGTCCTGTGGCACTGTCTATGATTCCCCCTGTATTTGCTTGAGCTTCCAGAACCTTCAGTGTAGATGCGAAGTCTACCTTTCCAAGCTGAGTTGCTTGAGACAACGTCAGTACTTTGCCACTCATTCCATCTTTAATGTCTGAGAAGGGAATTACTTCTAGATATCTCTGTCCAGATTCAATATCAATCTTACACTTCTTTACTAATTCTGAGTAGGGAACAATTCTGTAATTCTCAGGATCTACAATCCCATGCATCATTCCTGAAGACAATATTGCTTTATTAGTTAACAGCTCTTCTTTTTCAGCTTCTGCCAAGGTCAATCTTTGGCAGGACATTAGATCCACAAAGCTTCCAGTCAAGGCCTGGATTTCTTGGATTTCTCTTTTCAAGTCTGGGGTAACAAGATCTAATTTTATAGCTTCAGGGAGGGAAACAGTTTTCTTTGTTTTAGGATGAAAAAACTGACGGAGGCTTAAGTTCTCAACTTTTTTGAGTTGCTTGGCTAAATCTTCATCAATGATGCCATGTTTCAAGGCATTATCAACAGAAAGTCTCATCCCAGATATATGGTGAATGATACCTCCATCTACCACCTGCTTAGTCAACAACTGAAGAGCCTCCTCCCTTCCCAGAAATCCTCTGTCAATGGACTGCGTAACTGTTAAAGGGACCTTGCTATCAGGGTCCATAATTCCAGTTGTTTCCATTTGTAAGCTAATTAACCTCTCCCTAACTGTTCTTTCAGCATCTCTGCCTTTGGAAGCTTTCTCCAGATTTATAAGTTCTAACTGGTCAGCACTGTCCACCAAGCCAAGATTTGAGGCCAGAGTCACTGAAACCTTTTTGCCTCGTTTCAGGTCAACGATTCCACCAGTCACCACCTGCCCCTCTAAAATTCTGGTGGCTGTTTGTGTGTCGAGAATCCCAACTTCAACTGCTTCCTTCACAGAGCAGAGTGTGTGTGTACGGGGGTCTAAGACACCACTTATAGCTTTTTCTGCCATGAGGACGTTATGTAATAATTTCTCATCCATCAGACCTTCATCGATGACTTCTTCAGTTGTCAAAGACTCGCAGGTCTGCGAGTCAAAGAAGCCCCGAAACATGTTCAGTTTTCCCATGAGTTTCACAGCAGTGTGACTGGGCACAATGCCTTGGGCTATTGCTTCATTCAGTAAGAGCTTTTGACCTGTCTGTTCATGAAAGATGCCACCATCGAGTAATTGTGCAGATAATATATTTAAGGTAGCTTCTTCAAGCAATTCTGAAGGATGACTATATGATAGGGAAGTTTCACTGCCATTATCTTCCTCATCTGTCTTTCCTAACATCACCACACCACCATCTGCAATGTTTTGTCCTTTGTGGTCATCCTTACCTAAAAATGTTTTATTTAGTGCTTTCTTTTCATCCAGAGAATGAATATTCATGTCACTTTCAGACTTTAGTTCCACTTCTAAATCTAGAGTTTTGTCTACCTGAAATTGTGACTTTTTGCTTTGGGGTTTTATGGGAAGTCTTCCAGTTTCACCTGGAACATGATGAAGTTCAAGTGTGTTTGCTTTTTCTTTCTGACACATAAAGGCAGTCTTTCCAAAAGTCTCCCATTCTTCCTTGAGTGTTTCAACAGAACAAGAGTCTTTTTCCACCACCAACGTCACATGTTCTTCTTCCCTGGAGGGTACCGTAAGGAGAAATCCTCTGCTGACATTTTCTCTTGTAGATACATCTACTAGGCCTTCCTTTTTGGTACCTGACAACTGCTGTTTAAACTCTGATTTGATTTTACCTCTGATCTTCAAAGGATCAACATTTGGATTTTCCACTGTTTGTTCCCCTACAAATAGGTCCTTTTCAGGGTTCTCTACAGAGGAAACTTCTGTTTCTATAATGATTTTTTTGCCTTTTGCTTCAGTGAAATTTGTCTGATCAGGATATTCTTTGTTCTGAGAAGAAAACTGGAACACACGTGGTCTCCCAGTCAGCCCCTCACAGAAAGTTTCTGTGGTTTCCACATTGACTGAGGCTTGTAATTCCTCGGGAGTTTCTAGTCTCTCGTGCCCAATTCCAAACACTTCTGGAGGACTTGTGTGGTGTTCACCTCTTGCTGTTAGCATCTCTATCAGCTCATTGTCTAGCAGGAGCAGCCTCTCTCCATTCCGCACATTAATATAGCTATGAGTCACGAGCTGAAACAACAGCTTCTCGCTATGGCTTGCCATGCCCTCAGTTTGGCCCTTGCTGGATGACAGGCCTGATGCCCCAGGGTTAATGTTCAATTTGCTTTGTTCTGAAGAATCTGCTAATTGCATGTGGGGCATCACATCAGGTATGCAAATTGATTTTAAGTTGCTGGCAAGATCTTTGTCCAACACACCATTTTCTATTGCTTTTTCCCAGGACCAAATCTCTGTGGTTGCTGGTAGAAACAGCGCTTTAATATGCTGTCGGCCACTAAGGATTTTATGAGCTAGTTCAGTAGACACAATACCTTGTTCCAGGGCATCGGTAATGGGGAGGATCTCTCCAGATTCAGGCCATAGCAAGCCCATAAATGACCAAAGGGACTCCAGAATCACAAGGGCAATCTTAGCAGCTACTAGATCCCTGCTCACTGCTTCGTCTACTGTCAGCCTATGTCCAGTGACAGTGTCTATGATGCCTCCTGTCTGAAGCTGCCTTATGAGAATAGCACAAGCCATATCTTGGTCGATCAAATTATATCTTACAGCCTCTTCCACTGTAAGTCTGTGTCCTGTTCTGGGATCTACTATGCCACCAGCAAAAAGCTGAGCTTCCAGCAGCCGGACAGTGACCTGCCTATCTATTAGCCCTTCCTGAACCGCACGGAAAATGCTAACCTTCCGGCCTGATTTCAAGCTCACCATTCCTCCTGCCAGTTGCTTGACGGGTAGCAATTTCAAACCTAATTCTTGGTGGACAACACATCTCTGCATCAGATCCAGTAAACTGATTTTCTCAGCTGTGTTGGGGTCTATCAAATTCTTGGACGATCTAAGGTGAGACTCTAACACTGAATGAAGCCGTTTAGAAATGAGGCCTTGGTGAAAAGCCTCCTCTAGGTTAATACAATTCTCATCAGGGGGGAGACTGAAACCTCCAGTGGCCAGGTGAGCTTCTAAAATTTTCAGTCCAATTCTCTCACTGATTATTTTCTTCTCAATTGCTTCCACTACAGACCGAGGGCCTTTGCTCTCGGTAAGCCTGCTTATTAAGGACAGAGTAGCCTGGAGCTCCTGGAGCTGCTGGTATATCTGGGGATTAATGAGGTTTCTGGCTAGGCCCTCCTCCAAAGAGAGCTTTTCACTGGTCTCAGGGGCAATGAGGCCAGACAGAATAAGCTGGGATTCCAGGAGCACAAGGCCTGTGTCTTGGTCAATGAGGCCCTTTTGCATGGCTCTGAAGATGGGGAATATCTCCACTGTGCCTAGGTCAATCACCCCAGCAACTGCTCTGCAACCCTGAAAGAAAAAATGAAAAAGAAAACTAAATCAGAGATGCACAACTGTTGAAAGGAGTCATTCAAAGAACTATAGTATATCAAATTCTGACAAGAAAAATGTGGCCTGGGATGAGCCCCAACATGTAGGAAATATTCTGAAGCCTGGCAGTGTTAATACTAACGAAAAGTTTTTCTAAACTGCAGAATTTTAACATGGACAGAAGTTCACAGATTACTTGAGGCATTACAGATGGTAGCATTAAGCATATCTGAGTACCAAGCTCTACAAAGTAGCAAGCAGTGAGAGAACAGCTATTTCTAAGACTAAATCATCACGAAGGTTCTTACAGACACATACCAGTTCCCCAAAATGAGAATTCAACCCCGTATAATAACTTCAAAGTGTTGCAACCCATGTAGAAGACTCCTGAAGCAGTACTTCCCTGCCGATGCATTCAGCAGGACTGGTCCACAGGATTACAAAAGAGACAGAAGCAGCCTGGTAGCCACACAACAATTGTGCATCTCAGTAAATGGCCCTGTGTATATTACTTAAGCAGCTGTTTAGTAACTGGGGCAGTCATACTCTCAGTGGCCAATGCTAGCATCTGCCAAGGCAACTACTCTTAACTAAAGTTAAATTAGTTATAGGAATTGGAAGTACCAAGTCAAGGAAGGAACTGACTGAGGACCCTTGCCTCTGGAGCCACTAGTAACTTTTCTTCTGGTCTGGGCTAGAATAGGTAGTAAACGCCATGATTACAGCGACCACTTGTGGGGCACTTAATAGATTTATTGCGCACTTAAAATGTTTATTGAGCACTGATATTTAATCCTCACAAGAATCCTAGGAAAGCAATTATTTTAATCCTCAGTTTGCAGACAAGAAAATAAGGCACAGAGAGGTTAGGTAGCTTATCCAAGGTCACAAAACTAGTGAGTTCCAGAATCAAACCAAGGTCTGATTCTAAATCTTGGGCTATTATTCTGCCCTCCCATTCAGATCCAGAAGAGCATGAAGGATTAAGTACCATAGAGTCGCATCTTCCACAGGAGTTAGTTCCTGAGGTAGTGAGTAAGGTAAACCTTATACATTATCTAATTTACCCTTGCAAAAAAGCCTAAAAACAGCTCCTAAAGAATTCCTATTTTGCAGCTTTTTATCACAAAGTGATGTATTCAGAAATTAAATCATTCAAGTGTTTTAGCACTTATAACACTTCATCACTTTCATTACTCTCTAACTTTTTAACTCTTCTTGGTCATGTTCATTATCTTCATTGTCTTAGGTGGTTTTATCTGTCCTTCTTTGGTCAGTATTATTTTTTTTTCTTATCTAACTCTTTAACTTATCCATGGCGGATCTTGTTGAAGCAACTGCCAATCACTTCCCTGCCTTTTAAATAATGCATGTCATTTCTGTCTTCGTGAGATGTAAGCGCCGTAAGAGCAGGTACTTTGCCCATTTGGTGTCTAGGAACAGTACCAGCAGTTCAATGAACACTTGACGAATAAATGAACAGACTGATAAATAGTAAGGAAATCCTTAAAAGCATTAACCTAGGTCCCCCCAGATTTGAAAACTTGCACTGAGGACTGCAAGCTTGATTAACTGCAGACTACAAGAGATGCAGAATGGGCAGCAAATGAAGGAACAGACTTGGTTCACTTCTCCATCTCAGTGTATTTGCTCAAATAATGGACAACTGATGAGTTCTCCATACTATTTAAAATACTGTTTGTTATTCCCCATCCTCCCCCGTTTTCTGACGCAGAATGTAGAATTTAACTTGCATAAGGTAAATGTATGTTATGTGACTCTACTAGGTATCTAATTCTACAGAGACTGAAGGGAAAATCACACTGCCGTATGACTCTTTGAGGTATATGAATCCATGTAAAGACTGTTCAGAGGCAGACAGTATGACAAAGGAAAAGAGTTTCGCAAACTTCTCATTTCTTCTGTGAGATTCATGGAGTCTCAGAATGCTGATATTGAAGAAAGGCCTGGAGTCTAGCCAAGGAGAAAAGACTACACATTGTTCCTTCCAGCACCCTTGTAACTGGAGGATAGGCAGGAAGCACTGAGCTGGGAAATCATCCAGAGAAATCCATTTCAGTCCCACCAAACATGGGCATTCTAACCTAAACAAGCAGGAAAAGACACAGGGAGAGGAGAAGAGGAAACATAAAAGGCTTCTACTTACCAGAGTTGCAGGGCACGCCTTGGGCAGACAAGAGAGAGAGCCTTATGGAGCAGCTCAGCCGTATCGCACACACAGTGTAAGCTTGGTGTTAGAGTCCAGCATGCGACTGTTTTTGTTTTTTTTTTTTTGCAAAAAAGAACCCCGGACAGGTCGTCCTCTTTTCCCTTTGTGCATTTGTGCTTAAACTCCAAAGGGTTAGTGAAACTTGTAAGCAAGGATGTCAGTTAATCAGAACAATACTTCACATGAAACACACAAACGGTAACGGGGACACATCATGCTCAATGTAGTGGTGCTCAGCAGCTTGTCTTTCTTTTCTTTTTCCTCCCCTTTTTAACCTTTCAAAATGAGAACTGGATGTTCTCAGCAAGCAATTGTTAAAACTTTTCACATACTCCCTCATATGGTGAAGCAACAAGCCGTTAAGAGTGGGCTACCTTACACAGAGAATGCTAAACCAGCGCATTCTTTTGGGAAATCTACTCTCAAATAAATCAATCATAGCTGGTTCTGTCTCGTGGTCTTTACGACTCTAGCTCCTGCTGCACAAATTTCATATTCAAGGACAAGAGTCAAAGCATATTTTGTCTGAATATCATTTTGAATGTCATCTAGACCAAATCTGGTTACCACGTGAGCTTTAATTTTGGCCTGCCCCACATAAGTTGGCCATTGCTTCACAACATAGGAAATAAGCAGGCAAACACACATATATATCCCAGAGACACATGTATATAATATGGTAAGTTTACATATACACACAAGTATCCAGGAAGAACTGAGGACAACCAGCAGGAACTTAACAATTTTCATGTGGTCCAGGAAATGAACATGAGTGGAACTGGTAAAGGTGTACATGATGGGATGACTATGGGTAAAGGGAACCAGCGTCTCGGTCAGTGCAGTCAATCTACCAGTTTGCTTTGGAAATGAACGTCTCTCAATTATTTAGTAGACATGAAAAAAAAAAGTGGGGGAAGAGACTAATGGTCTTCACTTCCCGATATTCAGAACTTTTGAGTGACAATGCCACAAAGGAGTAATGGTATTGCTCTGTGATCAGATATAAAGTTTATGTTCTCCTTGACTGTGGTCTGCCACAAAATAGCAGACAACAAAAACGGTGAACTGGGTCTAAAGGGTTAGCTTGTAAGTGTCTTTTAGTGTTTCTGACTGACCAACACATCATGGAACCCCAGTAAAGAAACACAAGACAAATGGCTGCTACAGTGAGGTTAAAAATTAAGTTACATTGGTCATGGGAAGCTAGTGATCATGACTCTCAATCAGCAAAGCTGCTTTCATACCATTCGAAAGGTACTCTCCCAACACTTGGAGAGTAAAACTAAAAGTACCTTTTGTTCTGTCTGCTGGGCCAACTGGCTCTGAAGTTGGTGAAGCTGGTTTGCCGAGCCATCACAAAGGTCATGGTAAGCCTTATTCAGGGCATTCAATTGTTCAGCTATCTGTTCCTTCTCTTTTTCTGAGAGCCTGGAAGATAAAGCATTAAAGCTCTTTTAGAAAAAAACCTTTCCCAAACTGTCCTCTACTGCTTCAAAATATGACCTCTCCATCTTGGATGGTACTTTTTGTCACTGTTAACTACAAATCATCCCGGCAGTTACGTACTCGTTAAACATTTGGGCATCTAGCTCATAGTTTTCCTATTTATTTCAAGTCAAGTCATGATTCTTGGTGATGTTAATGCTTACATCACCAATGGTCTAACACTCTAAGCGTGTGGTCCTGCAACCGTCTCAATCCAAATGGCCTCCTCTCTACTTCAATCTCACCCACACGTGGCAAACTTGGACCCTGCTATCATCTAGAATTATTCCACTTCTGAAATTTTAAACTTCAAGAATCTACTATCTGATTATAATTTCTAATTGTAACCCTACCTTTCTAGTTTTCTTTCTTTACTCCTACATCTCTTTAAAAATGAAATATTTTAAACAGACAAAAGAGAGTATAGCAAACTCTTATTTACCCATTACCCAACTATCCAGCTTTACCATATTTTGTATTTTACCAGATTTGCTTTAGATCCTTTTCTTAGCAATAAGACATTACAGATATCAAGTCCAATGCATATCTGTCATCAACCCCATTACTTTCCTTTTCTTCCCAGAGGCAATCACGATCTTGAATGTAGTGAATTTCGCAAGTCCCTTTTCTCATTCTCCATTATGTTTTTGAGAATGAATCCTGTGATTCATATTACAACTGTCCACCAACTTACTGAGATCTCCCAAGTCTTCCTTGACTCCTCCATTTTCTCTTAATCTATCAGTCCTCTCTTTTATATTCAGTTTCTTCTTTTTCGAGTCCAGACTCCACAGTCCATTTTCTCAATCAGTTCCTTACTATTATCCTTGCACTCTCTCCTCACTAACCTGATAAAACTTAAGCCCCAGGTCAATTGAACCACTGGACTTCTGCGCTCCCACCTGCAGGCTACTAAGCAGATCCAGTTAGGGGGAAACCCCACAACCATGTGGAAGAGCTCGCACTGGCTTCCAACCTCTACTGGACTTCAATGCTTTCTGACACTCCTATTGGAGGCTCCCCATCAATCCTTCCTTCTTTCCTCTCAGCACCATTCTAACTTTCAGCGAACAACCTCTCTGCCCACTTAAAAAAAAAAAAATTAGTGCCACGTGACACCAATTCTCTCACTTTCTGACTTCACTCCTGGCTTATTAACCTCTATCCACACCTTTCCTAATCAATCTCCTTGCCCTCCGATCTCAGAGGAAAAGCTGTCTCAACTCCTACTTAAGGTTGTACTTTCTACCCCTTGATGAATTTTATCCTCTCCAATATCCTCTTGGATCCCCCTCCTGTTACTTCAGTGTCTTTCTCCCTTTGGTCCTCGAGACACCATCCATAAATACAGTTAAGTCTTGATCTTTTATGAAAACAAAACTCTTTTTTTGGTCATATATTCTACTCTAATTAGTTACTGTATTATTTCTTTCCTTTGCTATGGCTAATCTTCTTGAAAGAGCAGTCTGATTTCACTATCGCTACCTTCCTCACTTCATGTGCTCCCCATCATACTAAATCTGACATCATCCCTGGACTTTTCACCGTCACCAAAAACTTTTAACTTGACAAATCTAATAGACACTTTTCAGTCTTAACCTTTCTTGGCTTCTGACCACTCCCTTCTTTGTGGAATTCTGTTCTCTATTTGGTTCTGAGGTATCACTCATAATTCTCCTTTTACTTCTCTAAGCTTCTTTTACAGGCCAAGAAGCACTGAAAAGCCTTTGAGTCCTTGTAAGCTAATCCACTCTTAAGGTTTCTACTATGCTGATCACTCAAATTTCTCTCATTAATTCTAAATTTAGACTTCTAGACTTCTCTCATTAATTCTAAATTTACATATACAGCTGCCCATTGAATAACTTTGGTGGAACCATGTAAGGCATAAATTAACATACGAGGTGCTCCCTAATACATACTACGTATTTCCATTCTGATGTCCTTTGAGGTCTTCACATCCATAACGTCTAAAACTAAAGCTGCCCTCTTCTCCCTCAATCCACACCTTCTCCTATAATACCTCTCCTGGTTAGTGGCATCATCATACACCCATAGGCCTGAGACAGAAACCAGAGAGTTATATCTGATCATTTTTGTCACCAAACCCTGTAAATTCATTATCCTTAATTCCTTTTGAATCTTTGTGCCCTCTCCATCCCTCGTCATTTCTTGCCTATGCAAGGTGTGATCAAACAATATGGTGAATGTTTAAATTGAAAAAAAAAATTATTACAGTAAAAGACACATTGCCATTAATGCCCCTCAAAATACTTCCCCTCACTTTGAACACACTTATCCCATTATTCTGGCCACTTTTCTGAAGGAGTTCTGGAAGCCCTCTTTTGTGAGTGTCTTTAGTTGCACTGTTGTAGCTGCCCGATGTCCTGAATTTGTTCATTCCGTTTACCTTTCAGGGTCATTTTGACTTTGGGGAAGAGCCAGAAGTTGCACGGTGTCAGATCTGGTGAATATGATGGTAAGGGCAGACTGTAATGTCTTTATTTGACAGAAATTGCCATATACAAGAAGCGATGTGTGACATGGAGTATTGTCATGTTGGAGGATGATTTATAGCACACTTTAAAACACTCTTCTCTCAACTGTAGTTCACACACAACTGACTGTACCGAACAAGTTGAAACTTGTCACACTGTTACTAAGGTTCATCGCGTTGCTTCCCATATCGAAGATCTCTGCATTTCGGTTGGATGGCACTCGGCAGCAGCATTTACCGTATTCTTCTATCACAACGGAAAAGCTCCGTGTCACACATCGCTTCTGGTACAGCAATTTCTGTCAATAAAAACATTACGGTGTGCCCTTATCCACCTTATTCACCAGATACGGCACCATGCGATTTCTGGCTCTTCCCCAAAGTCAAAATGTTCATGAAAGGTAAATGTTTTGAATTGATTCAGGACATCGAGGCAGCCACGACAGCGCAACTAAAGACACTCACAAAAGAGGACTTCCAGAACTGCTTCAGAAGGTGGCAAGAATGATAGGATCAGTGTGTTTGAAGTGAGGGGGAGTACTTTAAGGGGGAATAATGGCAATGTGTCTTTTACTGTAATAATTTTTTTTAACTTAAACATTCACCGTATTTTTTTATTATACCTCATATTATCAAAATAATCTCTTAACTGGTCTCTCAGGCTTCTACCCTTGCCCCATGTCAATTCTTTCACTAGCAAACTGTTCTAGAAACCTTTTATCAACAAAATCCAACATGTTTAAAACCCCTCCCCACAGCTGACAAGGTAAAATGAGAGCTCAGCATGGATGAACCATAAGGCTCTTCACAGTCCGGCTCTTTCTGCTCTTAATTCTCCAGCCTGAATTCTCATCATGAGCCTGTCAGCCAGGTGGATCTGGTCCCCGAGATGTGCCACCATCTCTCATTAAATACGTACTTATGACCATGTTTGGCTAAGAAGATCTGTGACGTTTTAATGGCCTCAGAAACTTGTTCCCTCTTGGTTGTTAGTTCCTCTGTCAGAACCTATTTATTAGAAATAAAGAGAAGAGCTTCAGAACCTAAAAAATTACAGAATCAAAAATTATTTGAAATAACTTTTTTATAACCCTAGGGGAAAACCTAGCTTAGGTCAGATTATTATTAATGAGTTATATATAAATGAAAAAAAAGTAGGAATATAAATAATATGACTTCTTAAGTTTCTTTTTCCTGCAAGTTAACATTTACTGTGATAAGAATAATTCCTAGGTGGACCATATATGACTTGTATTATTTTATCTAATGCATTATCATATATTACTGTATCCAGGAAGAGACACATGGGCCTTCTACTCACCTGCTGTTCTAAAATAGCTTTTTCAATGTCTGTGGATTCTTTGGTCTGGGATGAGGTAGCTTTGCTTTGTGTATTCCTTGCTAAGGTAGACACCCAGCCCAAAAGTTCTTTAACCTTCTCCACATGTTCCTGTTTTTCCTCTTCTACCACTTTCTAGAACAGGAAATAGAAAATCAGTTATGTTGGTCAGTGTTTTATTAGACTGGCCTGACTTCAAATTTCCTAAAATAGAGACACAAAAGTTACCTAAATCAGTAAGCAGCTAAAATAACCCCAAGTTAAATATAATTTACCCAGCCTAAAGCACTGCTCACAGGTGCCTAACTATAATACTAATAGCTAAATTCATTATATCTTCATTAGCTCCTTTCTAAAAAAAGCATATAGTTTTATACATGATGGGTATTCAATTATTTACTAATTTTAAAAAGCCCTTCACATACGCCACTTTACTTATTTTCAAACTTCTTAGATTTACAGGTGAAGAGATTAAAGTCTACAGCGATCAAGTGAGGTATGTAGGTATTGACATAAAGTAAGTTTTTTGCTACATTTACACAGGCAAAAGTTGGTATGGATTAATGTTTCCAAAAACATTTCTTTTATAAGAGTGGTTTAGTATGTGAAAATTTGGAAACTTACTTGCAAAGACGTTGAAGATTTTTATAAGTACAAAAGATTGCAGATTTATTACAACAAATTCAAACAATCTGAAATATACATACCCCCTTATTTTCCCCAGAAATTTGGTGTATTACTTGTAAACTAATGCGTGTGCTCATGTTGTCTTTGTGGTACACACAGTTGTTTCTACTAAAACCATAATTATAGACAGTATTCTCACTTGCTTTTCCCCCAATAATGTATTATGAATATTTTCCCGTATCTGTTCACTTAAATCTATTTCATTATTTTACACAGCTCCATAGCATTTCATTGTATAGAATTTGGATGTTTCTAATATTTCCCTTTAACAAATCATGCTTTATTAAGGATCTTTGTTCACATCCCTTTCTTCACAGCTACAGTATTTCCATAAAAAAGATACTTGGAAGTGGGAATGTGGGACATTATACACTCACTAATCCTCCTAATTGTTCTGATTCCCTATTTGTGAATTTATCTACTAGCATTTACTTGTAGCCCCCAAATCAATACTTATGCATTTTCACAGTCATTCCCAGACATGCACAACGTGGCAAACAATGTTAGTTGCCCAATGTTTCCCGTTGGGTTAGAACAAGGTGACACTCTGGCTTCTTGTTCCAGCTCTTATGCTGTAAACAAGTGTCCTTTGCACAGTCTATTTAGTGCTATGGCTTTCATATTTTTGTGGGTTTTTGTTGGTGATTTTGCTTTTTAAAATGAACCCAAGCATAGTGCTGAGGTGCTGTTTTATGTTCCTAAGCATGGGAAGGCTGCGATGTGCCTAACAGAGAATAGGTATGCTAAATATGCTTTGTTCAGGCATGAGTTAGAGTGCTCTTGGCCATAAGATCGATGTTAGCAAATCAACAAAATATATTAAATAAGGTGTTTTTAAACAAAAACACACATAAAACAAGGTTATGCCTTATCCATTGACAGAACCTAGCCCTGTATTTTGGTGTAGGAGTTCAGTATTTGCTAATGCAGCTTTCGCAGCAGCCTCATAGAACACAACAGTGAGTAATAAAATTGGCTGCATCCACTCTAAATTTTGATAAATGAGGCACAGTGTTTTTAATTCCATTTTCAAGATGATTTAGGGCCCAACTGTCCTCACCTCCTCCTCCTCCAGCCGCCGGAGAGCATCACTGATATATTTTACGTGCTGAGTTGTTAAGGTCACCAATGCTGTGTAGCGAGTCCGTAAGTCCATGAACTATGGTTCAACAAAACAATGTAGATAAATTATTTGTCAGAAAAGCAAACTGAAATAGTTGAAAATAAGAGGATGTTTTAATGAAGTTGCATGCTCAACAGAAAGGTGAGCCCTAGATGAAACTGCAGGGCGCAGACAAAGGAATCTTTCCTTAAGGGAAGACAGTGGCCTGTGACCTTTCCCCACCCTTTCACCTCTTGCGTGATGGCATCTGAAGAGGAAAGCATGCGCCGGCGCTTGCCAGGGGACTTCTGCTGTGATTCCACAAAGGCCTTGTATGTCATCAGTTGCAATTCATAGTCCTGGGGAGGAAGAAATTTCACCACGTTTACACAGGACTTCACTGCTTACGCACATCATGTAGTAGAATCACAGTATCTCATTGCTGGAAGGCATTTTGGTGATCTTTTAAACTAGAGGTTAGAGACATTTCCTGTAAAGGGCCAGATGGAAACTATCGGGCCATACCATCTCTGTCACAACTACTGGGTTGTCGGAAAAGTCATGATGTATTTTTTCTATGTTTGCAAAAATGCGTCATGACTTTTCCGACAACCCAACACTCAGCTCTGCCATTGTGAGAGCAGCCACAGACAGTAAGTAAACAAGAGCAAGGCTGAGTTATGATAAAACTACTTATGGACACTGAAGGTTGAAGTTCATGTAATATTCATGTATCATGAAGTATTATTCTTCTTTTGACTTTTTTTCTTTTAGCCATGTCTCATGAGGCATATAAAAATAGGTATGCAGCCTGGATTTAGCCTGTGCTGACCCCTGAGTTTGCAGTTTGTTCTTTGCTGACTCTTCTTTTCATCTCATACAAGGGAAAACTGAAGCCCAGAGACAGGAAGTGAGTTTCCCTAGTTAACTCAGTGGGTGGGCAACAGAATCAGTCTTCCAGACTCTAAACCAATGCTTTTCTGGTGCTGCCATGCTCCTCTGTCACCTCCCCTGCAATCCTGAGAGTGCTGCCCTAGCCGGACCCTCTTCGTCTCTCACAAGGATGGGTGCAAGAAGCTTATTTACTCTCCTGTTTATGGCCTGACTTCCAATTTATTTCCTATCAGAATGTCATCAGAATAACTTTTCTAAAACACAAAGATGACGACTTTGTTCTCTGCTTGAAATCTTTCAGCAACCTAGAGCAGAGCTTCTCAAATAGCAACATGCATACGAATCCTCTGGGGATCTTATTAAAATGCAGATTCTGATTCAGTGGGCTGAAGAGTCTGCATTTTTTTACAAGCTCCCAAGTGATGCTCCTGGTTCAAAGACCACATTTTGAGGAGCAATAATAGAAGATAAAGCCAAAGGAACTGAACAAGGCCTTTGAAAGGTTGGGCCCAGCCTCCCCTCTCATTTTCCAGTCTCTGCTTCTGATGTACCATTCATACACCTCCTAGCTATACCACAACATTTGCTATTTCCTCATATAATCATTGTATGCTCATTCTTCTGTGCCTTTAATTATGCAGTTCCTTTTGCCTAAAAGGTCATGCTTTCTGTTGTCTACTTAGAAAACTCTAGGCAGGGTGAAAACAGGGAATGAATTCCTTAAGCCGCCTATGAAAAAAACAGTAGTAATAATAATAAAAGCATGTGCCACCATTTACCGAATGTATTTTAAGTTTGCAGCATTGTCCTATGTACACATTATTCCATTTAACCTTTACAATCACTTGGTGAGGTAGTTACGGTTCCCATTTTGTAGATATAGCAACAGAAACTCAGAAAGCATAATGCTTGCTCAAAGTCGGAAGCCTGAAAAATGGTGAAGCTAGGATTTGAACTCAATTCTTTGTGACACCAAGTCTTCTGTTATTAACTTTGAATGAAATGTATTCATTCAAAAACTATTTGTTGAGCATCTACTACGTGCCTGCCATTGTTCTGAGTGTTACACACATAGTAGGGAACAGGTCAGAAAAAAACCCCTTGCTCTTCCCCTGGAACGTACATTCATTCTAATGAGAAGGCACATAATAACAAGTAAATATGTAATAATCTCAGGTCATTTTTATTTAAAGATGCTATGAGAGAAATAGGGAGGGAGGCCCCATCACGCATGGCCTCAAAACTCATACGTGGATTTAGAATTTTATTGTGGAGTACAATAACTGCCATTGGACAGTTCTGAGCAGGAGAGTGACACGATCCAATTAACTATGTTTCATCTAGTGCAGTGGTTCTCAACCTGTGGGTCGCGACCCCTTTGGGGGTTGAACGTCCCTTTCACAGGGGTCGCCGGGTACTCGTATGTGGGCGTATCTACATGTGGGCCTGGAGACGGACAGAGGAGCGGTGTCTCGGTTCCTAAGACCATCGAAAATGTGTGTTTTCTGATGGTCTTCGGCGACCCCTGTGAAAGGTTGAGAACTGCTGATCCAGTGTAAGGTACACATTTCCCCTACATTTCAGTATCTTTAAAATTGAAATATGTCTTAAAATCAATGGCATTTTCATAGTTGGCAGAGTTTCTTCTTTTTGGCAGTGCATAGAACAATGGTGTGGCTTATAATCCCTGGTGTCTGAGATTCCGTGACATGCAGTATGTTCTAAAAAGTGTGTGTCTGGCTACTGTGTGGGAAAACAGCCTGTGGGGCAGGAGCAGAAGCAAGAGATCAGCTCAGAGGTGCTGGAGTGATCTGAGGAAGATCCCTCATGTAGATGTGCACCAGGAAAACAGCGAGGGGGTGGGTAATGAGAGGCAGTCAGATCCAAGGCATACTGGGAGACGGGGCCAACTTGTTCATAGACTGAACATAAAGTTTAAGGCAAAGAGAAGCATTAGAATGACTCATGGATTCTTTTTGCCTCAGCAAATAGGAAAACAGTGGTACTATATCCTGGGATAAGAAAGATAGTGAGAGCATATGTAAGAAGAAAACCCAAATATTGTTTTTTACATGGTAAGTTTGAGAGGCCTATGGGTCATCGCAATGGAGGCTCCTCGAATCACAGCTGGTACCTCTCTGAGCATCCTCAAACAGGGAGCCATGAGAAGTACACATCTGCATGAACTGAAGGAGGAGGCCAGCCTTTAGTAGAAGAGCTCTGCTTAGCTGTCCAGAAACAAACCTATAGTGACCATGCAGACCTTCCTAAGCTGGAGGTCATTTATGTTCCTTTGGGGACATGGTAGAGTTACCTTTACAATAGTAGAGTATTGCTGGGAAAATTTTTGACACTGGTCCAGTTTTGTCTGATTTCTCTCAATTTCTGCAAACAGATCCTAGGAACCAAAACATCACAAAATTATCATTGTCATTCTAATCATCGGAACAGCTGAGCACTGATTAGGTTCTAAGGCAGTAGTTTTCAAACCTTAGCTTCATCAGAATCACCTGGAAGTCTGCATGAACCACAGATTGCTGGACCCCACCCTCCAGAGTTTCTGATTTGGCAGGTTTGGGTTTGAGTCCAAGAACTTGCATTTCTAACATGTTCCCAGATGAATCTGATGCTTCTGCTCTGGGGTCCACACTTTGAAAACCACTATTCTAAGTATTTTACATGTATCACTTCATTTACTCCTAACACCAATAACCTTATGAGATTGGTTAAACAATAAAAGATTGTCTGTCTTATTGATGAGGAAGTAGAATACTGAGAGATTCCATAATTTGCTCAAGGTCTCATAGTGAGTGAGTGAGTGAGTGAGTGAGTCAGGACTGGAATCCAGGCAATCTTACTCAAGACTTCATAATCTTAACCACAATGCAAAACAAAAACAAAACCGAAAATACCAACCAATAAAAACTACTTTGAATGAGATCATTTTCTTCTACTCATAGCTTTCCCTGGGTTTTCACTCCCCTATATTCTAATCCTAGTAAAATAAAATGTAATATCAAGAAACAAATAAAGCAAGATAATTTTAATCTGTCCGACTAGTGACTTGAATACATACTACAGAGATTCAGAATTGGAAGGGACCTTACAGGTCCTCTAGCCTATATGCAAAATCAGTATCTTGACACAATGCTGCCTGGACCCTTTTCAGAAAAGGGGGCTGGGAATGAGCTGCCAGTTAGAAGCAGCTGAATTGCTAGCACATCATCTTTTATGAGCTAACCTTCCCCCACGACCTGCACCTTCCATTACATTGCTGCCACACCCACCGTTTGCTGGCTGAGCTGCTCCGATAGCACTCTGCTATCCTCTGCCTGGCCTGGCTTCATCATTTCCTGCTGGGCAGTGGTTTCCTCAATCCATCTGATGAGAGTTCCATGGCAGGCTCGGTAATCTCCCAGAACTTCCTGGATACTTTCTAGCTCAGATTGGCTGGAGAAGCAGAGAAAAACTGCTATCAAATAGCTCAGTATAAATGCAATAAAGTAAATGAGGCAATTCCCTCCTTGGTCTATGCCTCCAGTTGAGCCTGACCACACAGGAGATACACCTTTATTTTGGGGGAAGAGCAATGAAACGCTGAGTGAGAGCTATGCATGTACCCAGTGCCCTATGGGGTAAAAGATGATTAGAAGCCAGTTGTGTCCTGCTGGCCCTGGAAACTGCCTGAGACCTGGCATCCCATGATAATCCTTGTCAAATTTTTTACCTAGGTTGCCAAGGATTACTAGGGTTGCCAATAAGGTAGTACTGGCTGTTCAGTTCTGTTCCCTGATGATAGAGTACCTATCAGAGTACCCCAGGTATGATTTATGAATCACAGTAATTTCTTGGGGAGGACAGTGGGGTGTGGTGGGTGAAAAAATAGTTATTTACTGTTAATTTCAGTAACAGTTTCTTATACCACTTCTGTTAGTCTAACCAGCCTTGGGATAGTAATTCAATTATAGAGAACCAATCCAAACTTATATAAGTTGCTATAACTCTTCTCCCTATATATTTGCCTACTCAGCCTGGCTTCTGTCTTTCCTATTCAAATCAGTCATCAGAAAATACAACCACTGAATTAGCAAATGAAAAGGAAGCAAGAAATTCTGCAAAGGCCACTATGAAAATGTCTCATATTTAGATTAAAAGCTAGTAAAACAAAAACTAAAACTCAGGGTTTTGCTCCAGATAAAAGATCACAAGGTCACTTTCCCAATCTATATTCTAAGACACCATTGTCATCATGGCTTAATTAGGTTAAGACCTGGGACACGGGAGAGGCACTACTTAATAGAATCATCACTGCTGACCCAAAAGCAAGCCTCAAGTCTGTGTTAGGGTTGGTCGTCCCAACTTCCTGTCACTTATCTTGTCCAGAATTCATACATTCATTTACTTTCTATCTCAGCATTTACACAAGATATAATTCTATTTAGTTTAAAATGTAGTCCCTGAACCCTAACAGGAGAGAAGGGTGGAGCCACCACTCACCGGGTCTCAAGCTGGGCAGTGACGCGATGCCAACGCTCCTGCAGCTGGGCGCCTTTTTCCTGGTAGCGTTCCAAATCCAGGTTTCGCTCTGGGGTCAGACTACTCAGCTGCTCTGCTACCACCTTGGCCTTGGCAATTTCCTCATCCAGGACTGAAAACACCAAATTCTTGTCCTTCACATCACGAAGCCAGTGCTATAAAAACACAAGTACAGCCAACAGGTTAAATATACTCCATGCTAAAAAGTAAAAAGAACTTAGACTAAGGTAGACAACAGAGACAATGTCTACAGCCCGCTCCACATTCTATCTGTTGATTCAGAAGCTACACCCTATGTTTGTGCCAGAAATGCCCCCACAGTCCTCATGCACACTGGGCAGCCAAGGACAGGCAGTGCAGTATAGAGAAATGTGCAAAGACCTTGTGTGTGAAGCCTGGCTCCACTGCTTATAAGCTATAAAACCAAGACAAGTTGTTTAGCCAATCTGAACCTTGGTTTTCCCATCTGTAAATGGAGATAAAAATCCCTTCCCTATCACCTCACAAAGTTGCTTGTGAGAATCAAATGAACTAACAACTAAGTGATTTATAGCAAAACAATTGATCGTATCCAATTAAGCCATGATTTTGCTGGGAGAACAGGGAGAAAAGAAATAGAAAGGCAGAGTCCTTTATCAGCACTGCCTTTCTGGCTAGACACATTCCTCAGTCTCTTCTTTGAATCCATATTAAAATGTATTAAACATGATATTCTGCCTAGTTCAAATGCGAGCCTGAATCAGTTTCATGCCATCTAAAATTGCGTTTCTCTGCTAACCCAAAGCAATGACTATGACAAGTCAACCTCCTAAGAAACTCAGAGCAACCAACCCGTAGTGTAGAGCGATGGGACTCGAGAACTGAGAGATCTGCTGGCACTGCTTCTTCTTGACTCAGCTTGATCTCATAACCTTTCACCAAGAGTTCAGCATCCTGGATGCTACGCATGATAACATCAATTGTCTTGAGCCTGTGAGGATAAAACCACCTTCATTGACACATGCTAAGAGCTAGGCGATAGACTAGAGAGGTGTACAAAATAGAGATAGGTTTACAAAACATGACTACCCAAATCAATTTCACCATTACTAGATGATGACAGCGTTTTGTGAAAACAAGAAAGCATGGGGGTGGCCAGTTAGCTCAGTTGGTTAGAGCACAGTGCTCATAACACCGAGGTTGCCAGTTCGATCCCCACATGGGGCCACTGAGCTGCGCCCTCCACAACTAGATTGAAACAACTACTTGACTTGGAACCAATGGGTCCTGGAAAAACACACTGCTCCCCAATAAAATTTAAAACAAAACAAAACAAAAACAAAAACAAGAAAGCATAGTATATGTGCTACCAATTTAAGCCAATTCAAAATGAAGTTCTAGGTGGCCCTGGGACATGCACACATATGGTGGACCCACGGGACAGAAGGCACAAGGCCAGAAACCCACTCAATACTACAAAGAGTCTAAGACAGCGGTTCTCAACCTGTGGGTCGTGACCCCTTTGGGGGTCGAACGACCCTTTCACAGGGGTCGCCTAAGACCATTGGAAAACAAAAAGATATTTACATTACGATTCATAACAGTAGCAAAATTACAGTTATAGAGTAGCAACGAAAATAATTTTATGGTTGGGGGTCACCACAACATGAGGAACTGTATTAAGGGGTCGCGGCATTAGGAAGGTTGAGAACCGCTGGTCTAAGATCTGTTATCCCTCAAGGTCATGGGTAAGGATGGGTGGGCAGAGAGGAGACCTTCAAAGACCAGTATTTAATTTAGCTTAAAATTTTTCTTTTCATTCTTTAGTGTCCCTTCTTCTTTCTTTTTGTCAGAGGTCTCTTGTCATGGGTACACATGCTTCAAGATCTACAATCTCTCTGGATTGTTCCTGAAACACTCTAGGCACGTCCCCTTCTCATCCCAATGGAAAACATTGCCATTTGGACTCAAATCCTCAGCTCACTCACTTATTCAGATAGATGGTGGAGAGACCGTATACGTGATCCATTTTCTCCACCAGCAGATTAAGTTCTGAGCGCAGAGTTGGGACACTCGAACCAGAGGGGGTCTGATGGAGAAAACTGTTGCATTTCATGGAAACAGCGTCCAAGTCTGACCTTAGCTGCTGCAAATCCTCCTGGGTACGCTGTCAGGAACAAGACACACAACAAAGATGGGGACAATGAAACAAAAAAGTTAGAAAGAAGTCCTTGTTTGTAATAGCAAAATACTGGAAACAGCCTAACTGCCATATATAAGAGAGCGGCTGAACAAACTATGAAATAGCACTGAAGGGGGAGAAGGGGGAAGAACACACACAAGTAATTTCTGAACAAAGTATCTGCACTATCAACATACCTTCAGGCAAATGACAAAAACAACTATAAATAAAAGTTGAACCCTAGTTCATAGGTTTGTTTTTTGTAGTAGTATGAGTTAGCAGTTTCGAGATTACTATCTGCACATGTTGGAATTGAAGAAGACATAAATGTGTTGCTGTGGATACGTAAAGGAGCTTTTTCAGTCTTGAGGGAGGGAAAGAGGAATGGTTAGAAAAGCCCTGTGGTACTGGTCTGGAACAGAATGGAGATAGAAACATATGAAATTAGTAGATATCTGAGTGTTTGTGTGACATAGATAAATATACTGATCTACCTTTGTGATATATTTATATGTATATAGTTACACATATATATGTATATATACACAGATATATATGCATGTATACAAATAGGGGTGTGTGTGTTGTGTGTGTGTGTGTGTAACATAGGGGTGTGTTTGTTAAGTATGTATTTTTCTAGCTCTATGTGCTGAGCAGCCCTAGAAAACCCAGATCTTGTTTTCTAAATAACATTCTCCACCTTAACAAAGTAGGACTCCTTGGAGAAATGGCTGATTCCAGGGCTGGGGCTGGCAATGGCAAGATGGACCAGGAATATCTTGTTTTGTTGAAATAAAGCACTCAAATAATGATGACATGTTGAAATGACATACAGGCCAGCTCGAAGGGGGTCCCAATGGCTAAATTTGGAAAATTTTGAACACTAAAATCAAGACAGTAGCAAATTATAAACCACTGAATAAAATAAGAACCTATGAGTTTATACTGAAATAAGGAAAAAAGGAGAAAGGGAGGGAGGCAAACTTCCTTTCTGATAGAAATTTAAAAATCTAAAAGGAATGACAAAATTAGAATGTAACCTTTTGGCAACAGTCAGACTAATAATTATTCAGCCAAGAGTCAACAACAGATGCTAAAATTAGTTGGTGAAAGTTTGATGTAGAACAGGATATTTATTTATATAGTCTCAAAGTATCTCCCCACAAGATACTTAGTAATTACAATGGGGAAAATAGCAACAAGTGATAAAATTTATCACCAGTAATGGGACAAATCAACATCACATGCCTCCTGATATCATGCACCAAGGACACAATATCACTTCTGTGGTATTCGTGCCAAAAACATGTAACCTATATCTAAACCTCAGATAAACACAAATAGAGGGAAACGGTGCACAATAAATGGCCTGCACTCTTCAAAAATATTAAGCTCATGAAAGATGATGAAAAAATTGAGAAACTGTTTCAGGTTAAAGGAATCTAAAGAGATAGAGCAACTAAATGCAGTGTGTAATACTGGCTGAATGAATCCTGAACATAATACCCCCCCCCCTTTTTTTTTACAAGGGGGATAGGGAGCAGTAAGGGTGGGTGTGCTACCCCAAAAGACATTATTAGGTCAACTGATAAAATTTTATTAAGGTCTTATATCAGTGTTCATTTCCTGATTCTAATCATTGTCCTATGGTGATGTAAGAGACGATCCTTGTTTTCGGAACTGCATACTGAAGTATTATTGAGGGGTAAAGGAGCACCATGTCTAGAAATTATTCTTAAAGAGAAAAAAAAAAGATTATTATGTATGCATATATATGTAGAAGAAAATGATAAAGCAGATGCAGAAAAATGTTAACATTTGGGGAATCTAGGTGAAGGATATATGTGAATAAAAACTTTTCTGTATATCTGAAACTATTTCAAAATAAAAAGTTAAAAAAATGGAAGGTCCTCAAAAAGAGCTGAATATTAAACTTTATTTCTTAGAATGTCCTATTTTGTACAGACAATAGAATTTGGATCACTACATAAAAGTAAAAAGCTTCCAATACGAGAATTACAGGTTCATATGATATGCCTCATACAGGCATATTAGATCCCTCTTCGACAATGAAAATTACACTGCCCTCTCAACCTCCTTGTCAAGCTTAGGAATAATTGAGAAAAGTAAGAAAAATCACTCCTCCTCATTAGCCATTCCTTTCCATTCTCTTTAAGCTCCCAGATCAAATCTAATATTCTTTTCTGATTATAGATTTTTATTAAATGGTAAGCATTCTGTGACAATAAGATCTTGAAGCAGACAGACAATAATACTTCAGAAATTTGCATTTCATCCTGCACAGCAGACATGCTAGTCTCTGTATTGTTCCAATTTTTAGTATATGGGCTGCCAAAGCAAGCACCAAATCTAATATTCTTCACAGGGCTCTCTCATACCATCCCAAGGAGAAATGTTCTAGTAACAGTCTAAATGTCTATAGCATGGTTTGCTTGGAAATCTGGAAATACACTAGGTACTATTTTATAACATCTCTTATACTGTGACTTCAACTTTTTATTCTTTTTAAACTACACTTACAAGCGAAAAGCAAGAACTTCGGCTTACTTTTCTTTGCATGCCTCTGAGCACTTAATAAAGCAACTAATATTTGCTGCTTTTACTTCAAGAATACCACCTTACATTTTTACAGCCTTTTACTTTTACAGAAAGCTGTATTACTTAATTTTCAAAACAACTCAGTGAATTACTATTACATAAGGAAGGAAACTAAAGATGAGAGCTAACTTTCCCAAAGCCATAGAGAAAGTGCATTAGGGCCCAGAGTAGGCCTGATTCTTTCCTTAATACTTTTGTGTCATGTCACATGACTGATGGTAACCATGTCATAAAGTAACACATACATGTAACGGATAGAGCAGAGAGCAGCATCTCTACTAAGCAGTCTTCAACTACATAGCCCAAATGCAGCACTTAGAATAACTTACCAGCTTACTTGCTTTCCCAACTGTGTAGAAAACTAATCAACATTCAGCAATACACTGGGAGCTGAAATCGAGCTTCTGCACAGGTAAAAGGCATCTACAGACCGCATGGAAGAATTCTGTAGTAGGGTTGCCACGAGTCTATTGCCTTATTTCTTAGCAGCCATACTCTCTTGCCATCCAATTCATTCTAAAAGCATTTATTCGGCATCTAGCACCTTGCTCGTAGGGCTTACCTCTTGCTCTGCGATCCTTAATGCATTGTCCTGCCGGGCATCTTTGTCAGTCCTAGAGCTGGCTGGGGTCTGGATTCGTTTGACTAGCCTCTGTTCACACTCCTCCAGGCGCAGCCGGATATTCTTCAGCTCTGAAATGTACATCTTGGCCACAGTTTCCTCTTTGTCCTCTGTGAATGCACAAGCACAGAAGACCATTAAGCACCACACCAGAGATCACACAACCTGGGAACAACAGATTCACCCTCAGAGGGCACTACTGGTTCCAACAGACCTGCTATTCCACCAAGGAAAGCAAAGCCTTACAGGAGGAACCTTAGGCCTGATATGAAATTCCCTGCATTCTATAATGATCTTTAAGGATCCAAACATGTTATTTCCAAAAGAAAATGCTGATAGGTCGATAAGCAGTAAAGACTGAAATATGGCCTCTTCTTCCATGATCTGATTTTGAGAAGTCATCTCTGTAAGTTTTTCTCTATCTCAAGTTTTCATTTTTAGTGGTGACAGTACTTTCTAGTTTATATGAAGGGTCTAGCAGCACCCTTCAGATCTCTCACTCCACCAGCTTTCCCCCTCTTCCCAAGACACACACCATTCTCAATGGATTTCATCAGGTGCTGGAAGTGGGTTTTACAAGCCTCCACCTCTTCCTCCAGGCGCAGACCATCAGCCACTGAAAAGAGCATCGAGTCACGGCTGTCCTGCAGGAAGTCTGCATAGTGGGCCTGGAGGTTCTTCATGACCTGCTGGCACTCCCCTGGTGCTGATGATCGAAGCTAGAGAGGAAAAGGCAGAAAAAATTTCAACAGAAGGAGGACATAATCCCCCACCCTCCCTCTTTTTTATTGGCATTTAACACAGACACAAAATAGTATATAAACCATAATTATAATAAACATGTTGATTTTTTACAAATTGAACTTGTCCATGAAATCAGCATTTAGATTAAGAAACGACATAACTAGTACCCTTTGTGCCCCCTTAAACATAATCCTTAATAATGGTTAATGCACCAATATTCTCCTACTACATATACTTATGCAAAAGAGATGCTTATTGTGCAGGAATAAAAAGCCTACAACCTTCTCTCTCTGCCCCAAAGACCAAATATGTTATTTATTTCATCAGGAATTTCCTGAACCATTCAGGTTGCTGTTTCTAGTTCCTAAGGTCTTCAGGGCCCTAACCCTGAAACAGTATCCCTGACTCCACTTTATTCTAATTGGGTGGGTAGGAGTCTCAGTATGAAAACAAGTTCCTTCTGAAAAAAGCTTGCCAGTAGAATGTAAGCCTGGGGTCAACCTTTCATAATTACCTTTTCTAGATTCCAGGTCTTTACAAGGTCAAGGTCCTTCCTCAGATAGTTCCAGGAGATAAGGCTTTTGGTGTTAATGTGTAGCTGATGCCAAAGGGCCATCACCTTTTGATAAGACTGCTCCACTCTAGGAATAACACAGAACCTGGTTGTGACTTTTACAGAAAGGCTTGAGCTTCATATTAGAGACTCTCTAAGGAAAAACTGTGATTGCCTTAGCAGAACTGAGCTTATATCCTGATCAGAGAAAGGCAACGAGTCAAATACTAACAACATAGGAATCTTTAGAACTAAATTGAGATCCTCAAACAATTTGCGCTTGCTACGTTATTATGTGTATCATGTTAACACATATTTCAGTAATCTCATAAATGTTACCTGAATGTGATATAATTATGAGGAGTTAGAGAGAGGAAATACCCAGGGCAAGCAATGATAAAGTAGAGAAAGAACCACCCCATTTGGAATTGTTGAAAATGACAACATGAACACTTCCAACATGATTTGCTATGTTCTATATATTTACAAAATTGCTAGGATGTTTAAACGTTAATAGCAATTTAAGAAGTCCATCTGGCATACAAAAGGAAACTGTAATATGAAGGACTTCAGAAGATTTTTTCTTAAGCATCCCATGCCTGATTCAATAGCAACTTCTGGAAGAATAACAAACTCACAGATACACAGACACACACAGCAAATACCAAATTACCTTGAATTTCTTCAAGCTGAGAAATGTGAGATATTAAGAATAGGATAGTAAACTACAAGCCAGGATTGTCAGTTAAATAGAAGACATTAAACTCATTATTTTATCTTCTCTTTTTCCAAAACCCCCACGAAAATGTCAGTAAAGTTGAAATAAAAGTTCAAAAAATCTCAAAGAAGACTAAAAAGACAAAGAAATATAAAACAGAAAGAAAATTAGAGAATCAATTCAGAAGATCCAACATCTGATAAACACGAGTTCTTGAAAGCAAGAACAGAAGAAACACAGAGAAGGAAATAAATAATCAAGAAAAAACTTCCCCAGATCTGAAAGATATGAATTTCCAGTTTGTGTTCAGGGTTAGCATACTCACCCAAAGATACATCCCCTTCAAAGATTAAAGACAAACAAGAGGATTATAGAAGCTTCAGAGAGATAAAGTTTTCATTCAAAAGGTTACAGTATCAAACTCTTGTGTATCGCGACTGTAGTAGAGAGGATATGCAACTCTACGTATTTATCAGAACCACAGTACTGCTCACTACAAAGGGAGAATTTCACAGTTGTGTAAACTTAAAAAAGAGAAAGGTGAACAATGAGAATGGTACTGTACTTCTTAACAGCAAACCCTGGAAGCTAGAAAACAGTGGAAGTGCCTTCAGGAGTCGGAGTGAAAATAATTTCCAAGAGAATTCTGTAACTGACCAATTCATTATGAAGGGAGAAGAAAGACATTTTCAGAAAAAAATTTTCAAAAAGAATTTACTTCTAATGCACTCTTTTTCGGCAAGCTACTGAAGATTGTACTCTCCCAAGCCAGGGGTAAACCAATCAATTAGACTCAGTTTCTAGGAGTCAGAGGGTCCAGCACAGAAGAGAGGTAAGGATGAAGATGACGTGAAATGCCAGGGAAGCAGCACAGCAGGCCCAGACTGGAAAAGGAAGATAGCATCATCCAGAAGGGATGTTTCCAAGAGAAAATAAAAATAAAAATTACCTGCAGTGAGTGTTTGACCACATTGAGAAGTCTTCTATAGTAAAGCAGGAGAATTTGGGAATAAATTCATAATATGCAAATAGACAACTAAGCAAACTTAAAGCCAAAACAATGATCAACTCCAAGGAAACAAAAAGTTCTACAAGAAGGTAAATGAAGTAATTTACTCATACATATATTCAATCACCTACTCATTCACTCTTTACTTCAACAACCAGTTACTGAGTACTATTATGTGCCAGGAATGGTTCTAGGTGCTGAGGCTACAAAGCTACACAAAACAGACAAACACCTCTATTCTTTTGAAACTTCTAATAGGAGGGGAAAGGCAAAAAATCACAAATATTAATCTGTTAGGCAGTATTAAGTGTTCTGAAGAAAAATAGAGAGGAGTAAAGACGATTAAGAACGATAGGCAGTGAGTGGAGGGGTTTGCAGGACGGCAGTAAGATGAGCTGAATGAAGCAAGGAATTGAATCATGTGAATATCTGAAATAAGCAGAGGAAGCACAAAGGCCTGAGGAAAGAATACAGTGTCTGAGAAACAGGAAGACCAGTGACTAGAGCTGAGCAGAAGCAAGGAGATGCGCAGAGGATGAGTTTAAAGAGGAAAGGTAAACTGGGGTAAGTCTCACAACAATCCCCAATAATATTATAAATAATGTTAATAACACAAAAAGCATCAATTTAAACCAAAATTGTGGCATAACTACATTTGGAAGATGGGAAAAGGTGAAAAGTGTGTGCAGGTGTGTGTGTAGAAAGCTAAATGTTAAATTTCCTAGAGTAGAAAATCAATAGGCAATTTCCAAAGTTGAAAAAATCAGAAAATAGAAAAAAAAATCACATTATTTAGAAATTTGGAGTTAAAACCAGAAATATCTGCTCAAAGAGTTGTAAACAGATGACTCTGGGAAGCAGAACTCTGGGGTGGGAAAGGTGATTGTTAAGTTTTCATTATAAGCTTTTAAAAATATGTACATATATTACTTTGATAAAATATAAAGAAAATTGATGTTTCTACAAAAACCAATCTTCTAAGAGTAAATGGTTTTATAACCAAGAATTCTTTTAAAAAGAAGCATCACAGTATATCTCAGTTGAAAATAAGCATTTACAGAAAATTACTGTGTAGCTGGTAGTGCAAGACTTGGTATCCTAATAGGAGGTCTTTCCCAACAGAAACTTGATCTTTCTGTTCAAGGAGATCACAAATGCAGGTGCGTCCCTCCATCAGTTCACCCGGGCCAATAGCAAAGGGGGCAGTACAGAGTGGCAGCTGAGCAAAGTTACCTGCTGGCCATCTCAGTGGCATCCTTATTGGGTGGGGGGACGAGGAAGCAGACTGATGGCACCATCGCCTCATTCCCTGTGGGGCTGATCACTTTCCACTTGGTCCTCTGTGAATTATCTTCCAACACACATTCGTCATTTTTGCAAATAGTGATCTGAAGAGACAAATGTACAAGTTTTTGCTAATGCATAAATCAACAACCCGTTATTACCTGGTATCTGATCCCAAGGATTTTATGAAATCCTTAAGAAAAAAAATCTATTTGGAAAGCTGCCATCACTTAGTGAGAACTCCTGATTCTGACAAAGAGATAATGCGTAAAAATACAAAACACAGGACCGGTTGCAGACATCAAACAAATCAAGGGAGCAAGTGTTTATTAAATGCCTGTTACATGTCAAGTAACTCGGTATATGAAGGGTAGAGGGAGGCTATAAGACCTCCAAGAGCAACCTCTCTGCATCTACAACCATTAGGGTCAAAATTAAAAGGACGTGAATACTCCCAACTCTGCTTTTGTGATACTTCCTCCTCCTTGCTTCCTGTCATCCCACACAAATATCCCTGAAAATGTTTAAGCATTTGGGATCATCAGTTCTTTCTCTTGAAAAACAAGTAAGCATCAATATTATCACTATTTCATAGACAGAAATATTGAGACAGAAAGGGCAGAAAAAGTTTATTCATTCTTTTGTGTAACAAATATTTATTGAGCCTACTATGTACCTGGAAGTATGCAAGGCCACTAGAGATAAAAATAGTAAAATGGTAAGCTGACAAACATGGTCTATATTCCACACATTCTGGTGGGGCATACAGTTATAATATTGTGTGACAAATGAATTTACCAGGGAATGCATGAAAGGGACATAAGTCTTGGTTAGACGGGTAAAGAAAAATTATTCTGACCTTGAAGCCACATTAAGGAATTTAGACTTTCTAAATAGAAATGGGGAATTCAGGACTTAAGCAGGGGAGTGACCTTTTTTGTAAAAGACTGTGCTGGTGGTAGGATAAAGAAGGCATTGAATGGGGAGGATGATGCAATGATCCAAATGGAAGAAACTTATGGTCTATCTTAAGGCAGCAGCAGCAGGGACAGAAAGGAGTACCTCTAAGGGACATTTATGTACAAGTTAGTATTAACTTGGTAGCCCTAGTAAGGGATTAAGAGGGGAGGAGTTACAAGGGTATCTCCTAGGTGCTAAGTACCATTTCTGTCACCACTTAGGCAACTGGGTAGATGATGATGACAATCATGGAGGCAGGGAGCAGATAAAAAACATACAGTTGAAGAATTATTTTTTTTTAAATAAGAAAGACTTGAGCATGTTTAACTTCTAATTTTTAAAAACTCTATCATTTGACCTTTCCTTATTATCACAGCCCTAATTGAAGGCTTCCCTTCTCCCCTCCTTCCCTCTGGAGCCAGAGGTACCCTTTCCACCTCCTCACCTCAATCTGCCGATAGTCACAGATGGCCTTCACAGAAATGGTGCTCTTTAGCACGTGGTCGGGACTGCGTGGCTTTAGCTGAACAATGGTTTTTGATCTCCCAACAAGACTAGCAACGGAACTCTTGGACTGTATAAGCTGTTCCTTTTCATCCTACAAAATGAGAAGAAAATCAACAAGACATTAATGTGGTTACTCAGGGTGACTAAGTCCACAAAGAAAACTGCGTGCTCCACTCCCTCAGAGAATGTCACTTCTCAGTTAAGTAGGGATCCTTGGTGGAGTCATCTTAGCAACACAAGGATAAAGAAAAGAGAAGATTTCTGTCTTCTACCAAGTGCTTTTGTATTCAAATTGTGCAGCTTTCTCCCTGTGCCCTTTCAATGAGCCATAAAGCCGCATGCAAAACAAATAAATAAATAAATAAATAAATAAATAAATAAATAAATAACTTCTAGCTGCCAGATACAGCTATAAAGCTAACAAAGGATTTCCCCAAATAAGGTTCAGAGAACAGGGAAGTTAAAAACAATAATAACAACTATAATATGTTGTTGTTATTGTTGTTATTATTATTATTCAATTTCTCACTGGTAAGAAGCCAGTTCTTGCCTTCTGCTTAGGAAAAGCTAGAGTTATGCCCTTTAAAATTTTTAATAATTATGTCTCCCAAGCTCTACCACAAATACTTTACTTTCTTAAATTGGGGCACACATTCTACAGAAAGATCTTAGCTCTTCAACCAACAAACTGCAAAGTAATACTGTTGGTGAAGGCATCGTGACAAATGACTTAGGGTTTACTCTTTGTGTCTTGCTGTGCCAGTCGTGTAAATTTCATTGGTTTGAAAGCAGTACCGTGCAAAATTGAAACTCTCCAGTCTCTGCAAACCCAATTATCTTAAAAGCTAATGAACCTCTTGTCAACAAAATTGGTAGCAATCTACTACCAATTCCATTAGAGTAAAAGATTAACCAGGATATTTCAAGCCCATTTTGAGATACAGAAACTCCCCAGAAGAGGGCTTTCTTAGGATGGAAGTAGATGTGATGAGAGTCAAGAGTTAATAATGTTAAGAAATGCCATTAAAGAATTAAGAATATGCAAGTAGAGAAAAAGAAATGCTTAAATAAACTACCTGTGCCTGTCCCCGGGAGCATGATTGGAAGAAATACAACTTTAACTTATTAGTTAAGAAAGAGGAGTGGAATATATCAGGGAGACAGCCACACTTCCATACTTGAGAGCTGGTCTACCCATGTCATTTTCCTTGCAATAAAGATGTCAATTTCTGTCTAACCCACATCATCTCAAACATCTCAAACTCCAGAGACCAAGTGCTCAGCGTGGTAAAAGCTCTGAAAGAACCGGAAGCCAGGACAGATGCTCCCGAACCTGAAGGACAAGCTGAGGAGCAGACCCCGGTGACTCCATGCCCCGATGACGCCGCCAACCCGAGGCCCCTGACCTGGAGAGGAGGGAACAGAGCAGCGACCCTCGAGAAGAGAAGATAGGACAACAATTGCAGAGGAGTTACCCTACGACAGGAAGGTACTCTGTGGGAGGGAGGAGATAATAGCCAAGGATTATTATATTCCTCCATATCTGAAGTACCTCCAAGAGAGACATTCTAGAGACAACATCTGAAAAGTCAGGTTTTACCCTTCATTCCAAATTAATTAACAGATTATTTGCCCAAGTGAAACACTGAATGTGAACCCATTCACAGGTTTACAATACCTGAAAGTGTAAAAACAAAACAAGACAAAAATCAACGCATGTTCACAAATGCCCAAGTCTTACCCATGAAAAAATGACACTGTTTTGGGCTATTCTGATTCTTATTTATAATTTTCTATTGAAATGTGAGAATCCCCTGGCTTCTCATACAGGAAATGTAACTTCTCTGTTACATACATATTTCTGTCTTAATTTGAGATGTACCTTGAGCTCCGTCTTGCCAACTCTATGTGATACACTTTCAATAAATATAAGTAGCCCAGCTGCTGATTTTATTACCAGCCCTCCTGAAGGAATAATTCAATGGAGAAAATAAATGTAAAGCTGATTCGTATTAAATACGGGAAGCAATACTATTTTTAAAAAGTAAATATTGCTACATAAATAAACTGTATAATATTGCATTACATCTAAATAAGACTTTTAAAGTTGTCCTCAATTAAAATCAACTTTTTTAGTACCTCATCATTACCAAAAGAAAATTGCCGAGGAGGAAAAATTTGGCTCCCATCTAGTTCATTGGAGTTGTTACTGTGGTTGTCTTAATTCTCTTTGCACGAGAGAGTGAAAAAGAATTTGATGTCAGTTAAGCCTCTTCAACCCTATTTTTCATGCTCTACACCTCATCTTTGGCTCCAACTATTGAATTAAAATAGACAGGAACAATGCAAAGTAAGTATGAGGGGCCTAAGTGGCTTGGGGGAGATGACAAGGCCTTTACTTCAGTAACATACCCAAAGGAATCACATTAGCAACTTCTTAAAGGAAAGAAAGGAAAAAAAGAAAAAGACAGAACAAATTGATTAAACTCTATTAGCCCTGAGCCAAACATTATAACAATGACCCCCTGCCCAGGAGCTTTCAAGGATATAAACAGCAGCAGCTGATAGGATTTACTGTTTCTCAGAGTATGTTTCTGCAATCATCCCACTGACACAACACCCACCATGGAGTCCTGGAGCAGGTCCTCAAGGCGGGATAAACTGGTGTTGTGGTCACAGGAATATTTTCGTTTGATGGAGTCTTGGAGGTTCCTCAAGAATGACTCTAGGTCTCGTGCATCACTGAAGAACTGTGGGGATAGAAGCAAGGGGTGCCTCGTTCTCAATACGTCACAACACCAAGATCTTAAGTGAGAAGGACAATCTTACTGTGCAGAGCTGAGCGAAGCGGATTACACTTTCATGGATTAGTGTGGTTCATTACAAAGGCCACATCAGCATAAACTGGAGGTTTTGGAATGCCATGGCCAGGAAGTCCTAGTGACTGAGCACAAAGCCTACTGAGCCCTGTGGAAAAGTCAGTCTGCATCTCCCCCTCAGAAATCACTGCTGGCTCCTCGACGTCTGGTTAGTGACAAAACTTGGCTGTCAAGTCTATTTCACAAAAGCCTAGAGGTTGGGTGATCAAATGTTTCAATTCATTGATATGATTACAAAATGATCAGGAAGGTTATTTAATTTAGGGAAAAACCAAACAGAGATAATAGCTTACTTCCTTTACCCACCCTCACCTGAAAACAAGTAGTGTATTCTTCATGCTGTGACCGACCAGAAAAAAGATGGTCCTGATATTTTATAGCTCTTCCCATCAAGAGAGGGAGTCTATTTCTATTCCCCTTGAAGTTGGGCATGGCCACGTGATTTCCCTCGGCCTCTGGCACATCAGCAAATGTGGCAGAGCAGAAACAAGTGCTTGTGCTCTGGGGCTTCCTCTCTCTCGCTGCTTGTGGAGCACAGGCATTCTGTGAAGAAGCCTAGGATAGCCTATTGGATGCTAGAGACTTGTACATAGACTTGAACCCTGTCACCCCAGCCAGCTGTCAGACATGCAAATGATGCCATTTGGGACCAACCAGCCCCATCAGCTGCCTGCCAGCTGCCTGCAGCCATGATTAAGCCAGGCAAGATGAGAAAAACCACTCAGCTGAGCCCAGCCCAAACTGTCAACCCACACAATCATGAGCTACTAAATGTTTTAAGCAACTAACTTTTTGGGGTGGTGGTTTATACAACAGAAGCTAACTAATACAGATGAGATTTTTAACCTTGCCTTTCCCATGTATATGCGGAGGCACGTGCGCACACACCTCTTGCCAGAATGAAAACAAATCTTCTTCTCATCCTCTCTGAAGCACACAGACACAAGCCCACCTACCTGAAAGTAAGCCGTATTCTCTTTCACATGCTGCTCAACACACAGGCACAGCTGCCTCATCCACTGCAGCTGGGACTGGACAGCGGCACTGTAAGCCTGCAACAACCGAGCACACAGACAGAAAGGCGTGAGTTTAACAGATCCAATAAATATGTGCAATGCTCTCTTCCAAGATACAACTCTGCTCATGACAGAGAAGCCAACAGAAGATGCATGGAGATACGTGACTGGCAGCTGCTCAGTGTTTCCCATTAGAAAGGGGTTGTCTTTTATCCAACATGGTTTTGTTAAAAGGGGTTATACAAGTATAGAAAAGGCTTCTTCTTCTACACTCAGTTGCAACTAAATGATCTGGCCAGCAGAACCCAGGCATAAATAAATAAATCCCTCCTGGATCCTCCACGGTCTCTCTTCTCTGGGCAAAGGCACCACACCAAGAGGTAGGATCTGTTTGGATAGTTACTTGAAAACTTAGGGTCCAAGTCCACTTTCCCCATGAAGTTAGGAGTTAATATTGCTTCTTGTTTCTGTAGTCTTCTCTTTAGACCATCAAAGGGTTTGCGGTCTTTGGGGGTGGGACAAAAAGGGAGCCAATACAAACGATCCTTGACACTTCCTCCAGGTCTTTCGGCAGAACAAAGCCTCTGATCTGAATACTTTCTTAACATCCTCCTCTGAGCACTGGACCCTCACACATTCTTAAGTCACATACCTCCACAGTCTGCTTGGCGGGATGGTTCTCCAGTGACAGCAGCTCCGCTGTATCTTGTAGAGACCGAAACACATCCTGTTTCTCCTCCAGTTCCATTGTCAACTCCTGCACATGGAATTCAGTTTTACACAGTCAGTGCTACTAAGGGAGGAGCAGCAATAAAGAAAAGGCTGTGTCCCCTGCCCTACTTTTAAAAAGCCTACAGCACTGGGTCAGTGCCCAAATGAGATGCATAAACAGTACACGTCAGAGGATTTCAGAGAAGAGCAAAAATGCTGGAATTACTGGAGAATGATTCAGAAAGGATATGGGAAACAAGCCAGACCTGAGTAAGCGGGAGAACACAGGATGAGCACTGGAAGCAGAAATAGGAGATAACTTGGCTAGAGTAGCTAGCTGACGTCAGCACCCACCTAACAGTACCTGACACACCAGTGGATCCGCATCACTGACTGGCTTTACTCAGGCTATTTCCTTAGCCTGGAGTGCCCTCCTCTGCCTCTAAATCTTGTTAACATTACAGGACCCAACTGAAATGCTGGCTCTTCTGTGGAGTGGGATACTGAAACTTACTATCAGATTTGACCCCTTCTCCTTGGTGCTTTCCAAGCACTTTATATCTATCATAGCCTAATTTCCGATCTCATACACACTGTTTATTGTATTATAGTATCTAGTCTTTTTTCTTTACTTCAGAAGGATCATATGCCACTGTCCAATCAGGAGAAACTTATATATTTTTAAAAACTCTAAATGAATGGAATTAAAGTATCTAAAGAAAGTGTGAGTAAAAAAGCTGCCTTTGCATAGGGTTTACAAAATGATTAAAAAATCCTCTGAGATGTACACATACTGAAAGTAGCAAAAATTAACCCTACTTACTTGTATACATTTTTCACTGAAAAGAATTCAAAGCATTTTCCCATAGTCCAATGCTGAATTTTCCTTCCCATTTTACAAATTAAGAGACTGAGACCAAAAAAATTATTAAATGAATTGAAGAGAATTCAGAATTGAGAAACCAAGAGCACACCTCAGTTGAAGCAATACTAAGCCCTATACCATGTGCTTTGCTGTACTAGCTTATTAAATCTTAGGTAGTCTTTTATACAACCCTTTGAAGGGGTAGGGCACTAGTATCCCCATCTTACAGAGGTCCAGAGAGATTAAATGACTTGCCCAAGGTCACAGAGCTAGTAAGCAGAGGAATAAGACTTTGAAGTTAGGTCGGTCTCACTCCAAAGCCTGTAATCTTAACCACAAAGCTATACTGCTTCTGACCTGACTCAACTTGCAGGTGCTGTTCTATCCACCCAAGACACTGCCTTTCTGAATACATTCTAAATAAATGCATTTGAGGGCTCGAGTTCCCTGTCCATTTACACTTCTCACAGGCATAGATGCATTAAGCAGGGCCCCTATTTCTACCTAGCAGAATGCAAATCCAGAAACCCAAGCTCTCAGAAGTTGAGTCTCTCTGTCTCCTGATGCTATTACATAAATACGACAGGCCTGTTGTGCTAGACTCACAGAGAAGTAATTTCTCTTGGCTGAGATATTGGGATTGTTGTCACTCCAATCATATGCTAGTTCCTCCTCCTCCTTCTCATTCAACCAAATCAACTCAGCTGTAGCTCTGGAGACAAATGTATGCAGGCTCTGAAGGTGCCTCATCCGAAAGTTAGACGTTTCCTAGACAAAGCAAGGATTACAAGGTTAGACTGCCAGCCATTCAACTATAGAAGATAGCATATTTGATCTCAAAGCAAACAATAACTTGGGAAATTAATTAGTCCTGCTGTTTCATCTCTGGGTGCTTCTCCATGGATTTAAATTTAGTACAAGTGTGGTACAGGACTCCCAGAGCCCTTGTCAATCCTAACTAGAAGTTAGAACTCAGCAGGCGTTTGTGGGGCTCCCTGGATAAAGAATGATCCTGGGCCTGTCCTACTTTGGACAATCTTGAAAGACAGGAATGAAGAAAACGGATGGAAGTCCCTGTCTTACCAATCTCAAACTTGTAGTTTTGGTGTCTCAAAGCACATACAGCCACTGCTTTGGTTAAGCCTGACAGCTGGGACAGGCTCTACTTACTTAAAACTTTCTGGGGCAGTGGTTTCTGAGCCATTAAGAAAATGTTATAATACATATGAACAGCAGCATAGTAAATGATGTAATCTAATAAACAGAAAACCAAAACAGTGCCAAACCAAGAACTCTCTGAATTAGGGAAAAGAGTTGTTTGGACAGAACCAGATTCTCTATGAACAGAACATGACAGACTTGGTCAAAACTTACCTTCAATTTACAATACTGTGTCTCCAGCTTGCCAAGAGTTTCAACATAACTAGTATGAAAATTCTGGGACATTTTTCCCTAATAAGAAAGGAATGAAATAAGAATACATTAGAGAAAGAGTAAGTAAACTGCATCTATGGTATGGTTTCAACTAGGTAAATACTATGTCTGCACACAGGTAAAGACTGGTTACTCTGAGAAATCAGAAGCTTAGACAAGAAATCTCGGCCAGATTGTATAGCGTGGAGCAGCACTAAGTGAGGAATACTTCAGCAGGGCGAATACAACCTCCCTGTCTCGTGCTTCCAGTAATTCCGGGAGGTTTCTAAGCAAAACCTATGCCTGATGATAGTCAAACCACTCAACTGCTTTTTTGAAGGGGAGAATTGAAATAAAAAAATGGGAAGACAGAATGAGTGAGGGAGAAGAGAGACTGAATAGTGTCTCTACACCAGCTCTCTCTTGCAGACAGAAGGTGAAGGGGAAAGAGCATGAACCTTGGGAGCCGAGGGCCCGAGTTTGGCAACTGCATCCACTACTTACTAATTTTGACCTTAGCTTTAAATATCACTTTTCTTTTTAGTAAAAAAACGGTTAATAAAAAGAAAAATACCGGGCTGGCTGAGTGGCTCAGTTGCTTAAGAGCACGAGCTCTAAGCAACAGGGTCTCTGGTTCGATTCCCACATGGGCCAGTGAGCTGCGCCCGAGCTGAGCTGCCACTGAGCTGCCAACAGGTGGCAGGATGGCTCATCTGGTGAGAGCACGTGCTCCTGACAACAAGGTTGCCGGTTTGACTTCCGCATGGGATGGTGAGCTGCATTCACCCGCAACTAAGATTGAACACGGCCCCTTGAGCTGAGCGGCTGCGAGCTGCAGATGGCAGCTGGATGATGACTGGACTTGGAGCTGAGCTAGCTGCACTCTCCACAACTAAGGCTGAAGGACAACAATTTGGCTATTCCCCTCCCCCAATTCCCCAATAAAGTCTTTAAAAAAAACCAAAAAACAGCACTCCCTCATGTAACACTTAAAAAGGGGAAAAAAAAAAAACTTTCTCACAAAATTATTTCAAAGAGCAAAACACTTCAGTGAAAAAGGAGTCTGTTGTCAAGTGCTGCTCATGTTTATCACTCTTTTCCAGAGCTCCCTTCTCCTCAGGGACAGCTGCACCGTGCACACTGCCCGGGTTCCCTGCCCCACCCCACCCACCCTCCATCATGGATTCTGACTCCACGCACCTCATACAACCTCGCCTCTTTGACACTTGAGCCCAGTTCTTCTACACTGGTGTGAATGTGCTGCTGTGTTTCCAGCTGCAACTCCACACTAGGCAGGTCATTGCCCCACTCTGCTCGCTCCAGTTTCATCTGGAAAAGAAAAAATACGTATATAGTAATTGACTGCTATGTTGACAGAAAAAGAATCAGTGTCTGGACAAGGGGGCTGGGGATAAAGGACTGGGCAAAAAGATATCTAAACTATCTTCACCGTGGTCTCTTACATGAAAATATGCGATAATCATCCCCGAGGAGCAGGAGACTAAACCACCCCCAGCTATCGCAGCAGAGGCAGCCTTTTGCTGCAGCATTATGGGAATACATTCCTACATTTACCAACGAAAAAGGTGTTTCCACAGGCTAAAGATACTTAACTTTATAATTTAGGCATTTCCCTTTATGGAGTCTCTTCATTTTAAAATCACAATAGATATAAGAAATAAATATCTGAAAATATTAAGCTTCATTCATGGCATCAACTATTGGCCAATGAATTTTAAAACATTAGATTGTCTTTGAATGTTTGTATTTATTAGTACATGGGGAAATCCATGATCAGGAGAAGAGAAAAACTTCATACAAAACAAAAGGGTTAGAAGAATAAGACAGATAATATTAAACCTGAACCATTATTCTAGAATACATGTAAATAGTGCCCCTTAGGGATGTAAAGTACAGGGTAAGGAATATAGTCAATAATATTGTAACTATGTATGACGTCCAATGGGTACTAGACTTATCGGGTGATCACTTCGTAAGGTATATAAATGTCTAATCACTATGTTGTACACCTGACACTAATATAATATTGTATGTCAACTGTAATTAAAAAATAAATTTTTAAAAAATAGTACCCCTTAGAATGGTGAAGCACAGCAGCCTTGCTTAAATGTAAGAGCTGAGGCCAAAAAAAAAAAACCAAAAAGTGAAGAATAAACTTCTCTGCCAATGAGGAAATTTTAGAAAAGGTAACAGATTTATAGACTCTGCAACTTCTCCCATAAGCTCGAGAATACTTAGAATACAGTTAGCTGAAAGGAACAGATTCCCAAAGGGCTTCAAATTAGAAAAGCCTATGCTATTCAGTGTGGGATTTTTGAGGATTTGAGCTGATCCTATCCGTTTAAAATTTAAGGAGAAGGGGGCTAAAGTCTTGGGCAGCATCAGTGATTCAGGAAATCTATACAAGGGGCACCGAGCAATCTGGTCCTTGCAAACAAGCTGCAGGATCCAGCACATCTTAGGGAACCATATAAGCATCTGGAACAGACACCCACCTGCATTTCTTCTACCCAAGACAGCAGTTCATACACAAAGCGGAGACTGCCTTCATCTTCAGAGGAGGAGATAGACACAAGCTCAGCCCGAGTCATGGGCTTTCGGAACCAGGAGGTAGAAGAAGAATGGGTTCCCTTGGTCAAAGGTTCTGCCGTCAGATGAGTAGTGGTTAAAGTAGAGGGTGGAACCAATTCCAGTGAAGTGAAGTGGCCCTTCCGATACAAGTTTGTGCACTCGAGACGCAAGGTGACCAGCTCATCCTGCAGACGCATAACCCTGAAGTGGAAGGAGAGAAGGAAGGGAGACTTAAATTTGTAACATACTTTTAAAAGTAAAATCTTCCCTATCCATTTGACAAGGCTGAAGTAAAAAAAATGAGATCATATCAGGAAACGTGTTTTGAGAAAGAACAAGTGTTATATGAATGCAAGGTGGTATTATTAACATCTTCATTGTTTAGAGCTGTCTTTGAGGCCAATACCAAGGTATAGTGTTAAACGGAGGGAAGCAAACCAATACCCGTTTATGTAACTCCTAGATGGTATAACAGAATAAACAACAGATTAGGGGTCCAAAGATGTGGGTGTGAGTCTTAGCTCTGTACAAAGTACGTGACCTGGATGCTCCTCATCCCCTCTGTGGGCCTTGGATTCCTCCTCTTTATATAAAAGGAAGCTTTGGATCACCAGCGGTTCTAAACCACATATGGTACCACGCCCCTGCAGGTCACTCTGAAATACGTGGAATGTCACAGATGCCACAACGATTAGAAAATCCTACAGGTACTTAGTGGGCAGGGCCTGCAATAAGAGGAAACTGTTTTCCACCAGGAGAGTTTTCCTGCTGAAACACCTATCATATCCCCACTGAGGTCCAAGTTACAAGATTCAGTACCTGACTCTTGCGCCATGAGCGTCAGCAGTAAGCAAACCCTCCATTTGAGTCCCGTGTTCCTCACCTAAAAGCCAGCTCTTCTAGCTGGTAATAATTCTCATCCCGTAGGATCTGGAGATCCACCTGCAGCTGCCTGATAAGACCTTCGCATTCCTGAATGTACATGATGACATCTGCCTCGCACTGCACTGGTTGTCCTGATTCCAGGTGAGCAGCGTCCTGAGAGAGAAGGGGAGAATAAGAGTGGGGAAACTCCCACTGCTCCCACCCACTAGGACCCAGGCGGCCAAGGGGCCCCCTGCAATCCCAAGAGCAAGGAAAAACACAGCTGGACTCCTCAACCGTTAACTTCAACCATTAGAGCACAGGGTGAAAAGTGGGAAACATGTGGCATAAGAAGTGAGACAAAACAGCCAGACTTACAGCCTGCAGTGTATTCTTAGCTAGTGTCAGTTTTTCTTCACAGTTCAAAGCACCGTTCTGGATTTTGTTTGCAATCTGTAGCAGCAATTCCAGCCTAAAATAAGAGCAAAGCCACAGTAAAGGTGCAGGGCCCAAACCCAGCCCAGCACGTCATGTCAGGTCCCCTTCAGGCCCTGGACCCACCTCTCTACAGCTGGTCGAAGGGATTTCTCTCGCTCCAGCATTTCAATGATGAGCTTTCCCCACTCTTCTTCTACATCGTTAGGGTGATAACCTTGAGGCAGTTTAATTCGGCCAAATTCAATCCACACCTAAAAAACCCAGACACACTCCTTTAGTCCAAAATGCAGCCATGCCCTCAGGCCCCAGTTTTAACTTATTTTTCCGCACATCACCTCTTGCTTCTTTACCCAGCCACTCAGCAGTTTTTTTCCCATTGTCTAATAAGAGAAAACAATGGACTATTTAGCAGCACCTCAGCCTGAGGTGAGAGCAAAATAATCGCCTCTGAAATGCAAGGATTACATGCTCTAAATCCACTCATTCCTTCTACATTTTACACAACTCCTCCTGTCCTCTCAATAACGCCCATTCTGGAAAAGTGAAATGCCCATCTCTACAGCTTCAATTTCTCTAGGAATCAAAATGTGAATGGAAGTCTCTCTCTTTTTTTCCATCCTATGGAAAGAATTCGCTTCCTTCTCAGAAACAGGAAAACTCATCCACAAAACTCAAGATTTCTGAATAAATGTATACCATTTTTCAGTAGGCCCTTTAAAAAAAACAGATGGTTGCTACAACCCCTTTACCACAAATTTTCAAGACCAGCCTGACAGTGATGCTAGATTCATCCCCCTGAGAATAGGGCTGTTAATGCAGGTTGGGAGGAGGATGCGATGGTTCTAACAAAGCAACAACAGGACAAACCAGCAAACCCCAAATTCAGCAAAGGATAGGCTTCCTTACCTCTAATAATTTATATAATTCCTCAATTCTTCCTTTTTCTCTCTCCTTGGCCAGAATTTCTGTTTCTTTGAAGTGTATGTACTGGTTATAAAGTGCCTACAAAATTAATATTCATTGAATGAATGAATGTATGCAAACAACCTGGCCCAAGTTTTCACCTCACCTCACCCAGAAACCAGCAGCAACAAGCGCTGAGACTTACTCCCTAGAATGAATATATAGAAAGCAATTTAAGTCCATGACTTTACCTTTAGTTCAACAGGGTTCTGGGGGAAAGTTTTATCTGACATCAGGATTGTATGCTGTTTGATCCAGGGAATGAGGGAGTCCACTCGGCTTTGGTATTCTTGCCACCTGGCGTCTACTTCCTATTGCCAAAAGGTAAATATCACACACCTTCTGATTAGCAGTACGCAAAGCATGCACAGGAGAAAGATGAGGCCATCCCAAATCACTTAAAATCCTTTTCCTCTAATTGCCTGTTTAATGTGTGCAGGATCCTGGTTTCAAAGCTCCTCAAAGGCTCTCAAGATGGGATTTAATTTCCTGACACCTAGAATAGTCTAGGCTGGATGCTACAAAATTAGCAATATCTAGACACATTCCCCGGGGCCACAGGTAATGACCATGTATAAAGATGGTGTGAATTCAGTTGCTCTGTGTAAAAGTGCTCTGCATATAATGAATGCTTAAGAACATGGTCTAATCAATACATTCTACCCAAACAAATCAAAGCAATCTAAGAAAGTGTCCTCTTACCGTGGCATTGATCCCTTCTCCACCCTCGGGGACTTTAGGGAAGGCATCATAAATCGAAGATACATAAGTGATTACAGACTTTTCATCTGGAGATGGCACATCCACATCTGAGAGAGAAAGGATAAGAAATTTCTCAGTCAGAGCCTGCCATTAGGAAGAGTGAATATATGCCAAACACACCCAACTTCAGTCGGCTCTCACCTTCTGCATCCAGTAGCCGGGTGACCCCCAGTCTCTCTGCCACTTCGAAAGCTTGTTCCAGGTTCTCTCGGTTACTTTGGATTTGTACCCTCTCCATATCTACCAGATCAGGTCTGTAAAAGTCCACCAAGGCACATGAAAGGCCACCATCTACACGCCACACACGCGTTCACACAAAGAAAACCTCTTAAAAGCACCAAGGGCTGAATGAAAAACACTGACTGAATTAGAGAGAAGGCGGAGGCTTAGAAAGGTACTAATCCCATTGTTATTTACATGCCAGGAGCCCAGTGCTCCCTAATTCTAACCTTACACAACAGTAGCCTTTTTGGATTTCATGGGGAAAGGATCACAAATTAGTACTGAATGAAAATTAGGATGTGTTATGACCACTGAGAGTACACTAATTGTGATTTTGGTCATTTAAAATCCCCATCTCGGGCCAGCCGAGTGGCTCAGTTGGTTAAGAGCTTGTTCAAGAGTTTGAGCTCTGAGCAATAGCGGTTCGATGCCCAGCCCGAGCTGAGCTGCCGCTGAACTGCCAACAGGTGGCAGGATGGCTCAGCTAAAAAAATAAATAAATAAAATAAAATCCCCATCTCACTCCAGCCACCTGCTGCTCCTCAGCCACACCAAACAGGCCCCCTGTTCCAGGACCTCTGCACTTGTTATTCCGTCCAACTGAAACTCTGACCCTAGAATCCTGCATGGTTCCCTCCCTCCCGGCTCTGCTCCAGCATCATCAGACAGACCATCTTCCTATCCAAAATGCCATAACCCTGTCACTCTCTATCCCTCCATTGCACTTACCGCTTATGACAGCATATACAAAGGGTGCCAAAAAAATGTATACACATTTTAAGAAAGGAAAACTGTGTTAAAATTGTAATACTCAATATATACAGATAACAAAAGGTGAATACAAGTCATGTTTGACTTCTGCAACTACAAGAGGTGCTCAAAGTGTTTACCATCAGCGTCCAAACACTTCTGATTACGGGGAACTACTGCTTGAGCAACACGAAGTGTCCACCTGTATACATTTTTTTGGCACTCCCGGTATTATTTGTTTATTGCTTAATAAACAAGCTCAACGAGAGCAAGAACTTTTGCTGTTTTGTTTACTGCTATTTGTGCCCAGAGCCTAGAACGCTACGAGTTTAATTTATATTCCCTTTTTAACTGAATAAAATGAATCAGGTTCTTGGTGGAGGGGGAAAAGTGACATTATAACTAACTACAAACAAGAGCTGAAAAAGAAGCCCCTCCAGGCACACTGAACTTCTACTGCATTTACCTGTATCGGTGAATAAGCGCATTGAACATCTTCCCATCACTCCAGCAGGAGGAAAAGTTGGTGCATTTGATTCCTGTGTAGCCAGCTGTCACCTTTTGGGTCCATAGGAGCAGCTTCTCCTTGGCTGACATGTCTCCTGACTCTCCACTAATGTAGATGTCGGAGATCTGCCAAAAGATAGGACACGGAATAACCTTTTCTTCTTCAACATTATGGCTCTTAGAAGAAGAGGCAGATCCAAGGCTGGCGGCACTTCAGATGACAGTTCCAATAAATATACTCACTCTCTTTGGTAGTCAAAGAAATGCAAATTAAAACCATGGGAGGTAATTTCTTCACCTATTAAATTAGGAAATTGTTTTTTTAATGATACTATTCAGTATTGGAGAGACTAACATTGGATATCCTCAAACACTGCCGCTGGTGAGAGTGTACATGACCTAACTTCTCTGGTTGGCAGTTTGAATCAAAAGCTTAAAATATACATAATAGGAACCATTAGAGATAAGCTAAAAAAAATTTATATAAGAACGTTTATCAAAATGCTATAAACATTATAGCAAAAAGTTATAGAGCTTAAACTCTAATAAGGAGTTGATTGGCTTACATAAAGCACATATACATACCGTGTTTCCCTGAAAATAAGACAGGGGCTTATATTAATTTTTGCTCCAAAAGACGTATTTTATTCATTTATTCATGTACAAAAATCTACATTTATTCAAATACAGTCATGTCTGGCTGACGATCTTAACTGGGGCTTATTTGGGGGTAGGGCTTATATTACGATCACCCTGAAAATTATGCTAGGGCTTATTTTCCTGTTAGGTTTTATTTTCAGGGAAACACAGTTGTAAAATTCTCTGTAGCACTTAAAAAGGTATGCTTTAGAAAATTTTAATGACATAGGAAAATGGTCACCATTATCCTATGAAAAGAAATACAAAATAGTATATAGTAACACTAATTTTATATAAAGATATAACCATATATATGTATACATACATATATATGCATAATGTATGTGATAACTGCATATATATGTATGCAAGTGTAAACATAGGGAGAAATACACCAAACTAGTAATTATAGTTAGATTTCTAAGTGGTAACATTATAGGTGGTTTATATTTTCCTAATTTTCTATATCATGTGCATTTTTATAATAAGAAAAGAGTTATTTTAAGAAATTCCCAAAATCTAGCACAGGACCTAATTTAGAGAGACGACAGTGTGGGAGAGAACAAAGTTCATGCCTTTGATTCCACGCAGACCTGGGTTTGAATTTCAACGTCACCAACCTCAGTTGTAACATCGGTAAAGCGAGAAGAATACTTGCCTCCTGCTTTTCCGGGTTGCTGGGATCCACCGTGATAGCATACATAGTAAAGCACCTAGCCCCCACACAGGGCTGCACTCAAAGTCTTCTCTTCACCCTTTCTGGTGTGGATGATGGTCTTCCTTCAATTCTTACTTGTCTAACTCTCCCAGCACTGACAGCCTGTATAATTTGTTATCGTGCATTATTGACTATTACTTGTTCTTATCTCCCTAAGACTGTAGGTTTCCTGAGGAGCTAGCACTACATCTTAATATTCAGAACTATCTAAAATTGAATAGAAGCCCCCATTAGGATGAGCTCCTTGAGACAGGACATGTTCAAACAGAAGCTGGGATGCTGTGGAAGAAATAACCTCTTCCCCTGAGAGTCAGTGATCAAAATCCTTCCATGTATCACCCATTGCACCTGGTGTTGAGCTGGTCATATGCAAACATGTCACATGTTTTAATTAATAATCACGTGGTTTATAAATAATAAAAATAAATATATTTTGGGGGAAGGTCCACCTAGAATCCTAAGACACGTTATTTTTTTACAGCAAACTTAGCAAATTCAAAGCAGTGTGTATAATCAAACAAGTTTGGGCTAATATTAACAATGGTGATCTGCCCTGGAGTGGGAGTAGGGATACTTTTATTTTCTTTTTGTCCGACTTTAAATAATGAGCATACGTTACTTTTATAATGAAAGCTACAAAATCATTTTTATCAATAAGAAACAGCATAAGCCTTTGAGCCAGACAGATATGCATTTGAAGGGAGGCATTTACTCAGAACTGACCTCAGGCAAATTACTTAAGCTTCTTGTACACCAACTCCCCCATATATAAAGCAGAATGAAAACTTTCTCATAGGGTCACTATAAGGATTAAATAAGGTACAGTGCCTGGCGAATATGTATTTCCTTCCCATAATAATAAAAGAGCATGCCACCACAATCTGAGGGCTGGATGGTTTGAGCAGGGAGGGAACTGCATGTCAACAGAACATCTGTCTCTCAGCCCTGGGAAAGTAATCGCCTCTTTGGTGGTCAGTACAAGGGACAATTGACAATTAGGCACTTCCAAGTCTCTGAATACTAAATTTACAAACTCAGCTCATAATAGGTTAAATATCAGCAGAAGACACTTTAAAATCAGAAAAAACAGGGCCAGGAACTGTTCATAATACTTTACTGAATATAAAAGAAAGCTGCAGACTACTGAATCTTACTAGGATGTCTGAAGAAAGACTCTGAGAACAAAAACCTATGGGAAGCCTCATGGAGTCTAGAAAAGGGAAACCAGTAAGCGTTGTCTTCTAACCAGCACATTCCAGGATTCTCGTCCCCTTCACAGGGACAGTTCTAAGGGGAACATCAGGCTGCCAAACAGGGATGATGCCAGCTAGTAAGATCATCTTGTAAAGCTATCCTCTACCCACCACCTCTCTGCTCTGACTCCACGTTCCCCTGAAAACCTTTAGATTATTACTTGCTTCCCACATCATATCCTACAGCAACAAAATGCACTGAGTGCCCAATTCAAATACTGTATCACTTAGCAGTTAAAATTCATATTGTAAATTAATTTACATCAATCAATCTCTAACAAGTATAATCGCTTTTGAAGTCAATCCCCCTAAAACTCAATCTATTCCAAATACACGGGGAGAAAAAAACAAGAGCTATGGAGCTGCAAAGCTGAGGATCCAACATGTGTAATGCTGCCCAAGCTATCATCCTGGGAGTCCTGTGAAAACAGCCCCTCTCTCGTGCCAATTCAATTCCAGTTCTCCTTAACATTTCTAGCTGCTTGTTTCATTAGCTATATGCCGCCCACCACTGACATATCCCAATAGGTTCACTGTAGCTACTTCACATACATATTAAGGCGAAACATTGTTGGGAATAGAAAATAGATTTGTTAAAGTAAAAACAGATCGAACTTGAATAAACAAAATGAAATCTGAGTATTTGTGTTTTTTACCCAAAAAAAGAAATTCCAGTTTATTAATTGACATTGTATGGCCAGTACAAGCACAGTCAATCTCTCTGATGGCATCACTTATTTGCCAATCGTAGTATCTTTGTACATTGCACTGAAAATAGTTCAATGAACAGCTTTACTTCAAATTGTCCACACAGCCGTAAATGAGACAGGGAAGTGTTTGGATACCTCAGGGGGGGAACAATAAATACCCTGTTTGTATAAGGGCCCTTCCTAGACGGTGACTGGATAAAATGGGATTATCATCACAACCACCTGAGTAATTAAATTGGGCTTTTGTCCATCTCTTCACTTAATACTCACATGTTTTGTGCACAGTGCTGCCCTTTGGACTATGTAGAAGCTTCTACCTTAATCTCTCAAATGCAGAAACCCAGCGTCAGGGTCAGGGAGCTTACTCCGTCATCCGGATTTTGAAAAGAAAGCCATTTGGAGAGGGAGGACAGCCTCAACACCATTCCAGAGACCATGCACATCTACCTGAACTCTCTTTTAACCCAAACTTACCCACACCTATTGGGCTTGATTAATTCCTTCTCTGAAGCATATCTAGAAACTTAATGTTTTCTTAATAATTCAATAAGTATTTACTGAACATCTCATTTGTGCTTAACACAATTCCAGGCACCATGGAGAAGAAAAAAAAAGTCAAACACCATTTATTCATTCTGTTGTTATTTCTTGAGTAACCACTATGTTCTAGGAGCTGCATTTAAGTTCTTGGTATCTCAAGATAAAAGCACAACCTTGAGCTTCAAGCTCAAGAAGGTTAGTAGGGGAGACGATATATTATTATACAGAGAGATCAACGCTGTGACAGAGATAAGCAAGTAACCCAAACTAGCAGTGCCAAGGAATTTCTCGGAGACAATATCTATGCTGCATTTTAAAAGTAGAAGTCAGCCAGGTGAGAAAGGAGAAACAAAAAAATAGACATGCTTGCCCATCTTGAACTTAGTTAAGACGTGCCATATCTGGCTAAAATAAGGTAGTCCCCGCGTCTGACAACAGATGGATGGAAAAGAGGAATGGAGAAGGGAAGCACTGTGGTACTCTGGAATACATAAACTTTTGGAAATGTATTTACACATATGTACATGTTTAAAATTAAGCAGTATATCTAATGTATCAATGTATAATAGTATTAATGCTTTTTCTACTTTCACATTTTATAAAACCATGCTATTCAAACTCTTTGCATCTTTGACATCAATGTCTTTTTCATCAATAAAGCTACTTTTAAAAAAAGCTACTGTTTGAGTGAATATCTAGAAAACATCTGCTACATTTCTTTTTAAGATTTCTGAGCTATAGTAGCACTTTTCTGAATCCATGCAGTCACTGGAAATTTCACCCCCAACCACAAGAATCCAGTTGCATAACATATTAGTTTTTTCATTCATTCTCTTGGTATTTATTTATGATTTCCATAATATGACAACTTGCTCTGTGTGTGTGTAAGTCATGTGATTTTTTTAAAAAAGTTTTTAATGATTAAGACTTATATACAATTACATTCAACACTTCAAATTAGGAAGTTATGGGCCAGCCGAGTGGCTCAGCTGGTTAAGAGCTCGCTTGGGAGTGCCAGCTCTGAGCAGCAGGGCTGCAGTTCGGATACCACATTGAGGGCCAGTGATGCTCGCCCTCTACAGCTAAGATGATGAACAACAGCTCGACCTGGAGCTGGGCTGCTGTGAGTCGCTGTGCAGCGGGACTGCAGCGGGACTGCAGTGGGCTGCCGTGAGCTACATGAGCGGCCAGCAGCCGGTGTGAGCTGCTGGGAGCCACTGTGAGTGGCCGACCAATGACCGGCGACCGATTGCCTTACCCAGGAAG